TTAAGTTTATACGTAGCGGTAACGAACAATGCATAAAGATTTAACATTTTAAAATTAGATAAAAAGAAAAAAAATCATAGTGGGTAGCCAGATTCTTCAACAAAAATAAGCACCTTCTAAGTACTTTTTAAGCATTCAAAAATTATTTTTAATGAATATATATACTGTCCAAAAAAAGCCAGATTCTTCAACAAATAAACACCTTCTAAGTACTTTTTAGGCATTCAAAAATCACTTTTAATCACTATCCAAAAAACAAAACAAAAAATCATAATTAGGATCTGTGCAGTAATAAAAAATTTTTTTCTCCATCGTTTAAAGTTCTTAATTAAGCATTAACTTAACTCAAACACATTTTCAAAAACTTTACATAATCATGATAAAATAATCAGTTTCTGATAAATATTGCAGAGAAAATGGTGAAAATCATGCATTTTTTTATAATTTATGACCACAATCGACACGGTAAGAAAAAAATCTCGTTTCAAGTTAAGCACTTTTTAAAAACCCCGAAAAAAGCACCTTTAAGTGCTTTTAAAAAACGTTAATCAAAAATAAGCGATGTCATCAAAATAAGCACCTATAATCACTTTTTAATAATGATACGCACCCCTGTCAATGAAATAAACTAAAAAATCCATCAATCTTCAGAAACTAGCGTTTTGTATAGCTTTTTCACGCCTGGAAAATTTTAAAGGCCTCAATTACGAAAATATTACAGCATGTAAATTTTAACACTGTTTTGATATTTAATACCTAGCCAATTATCAAAAAAAAAAAAAAAAATTATTTTATCCAGAGTTGATGAGGAGAAGAAATTTTGTTGGAATTTGTGTCGAAAACTTTTTTACGACTTTTAGACAAATATTGCAATGATGTGAAGAAAAAAAATTCTCATATGAAAATTATGGCAATTATTTAAATTATTATAGCTTTTTACAAACTTAATTTATCACATTTGAACGTCATTGAGCTTATTATTGACTGAATAAATAGTTGATTTAAATAACTTATTATATTAATAAATAAATTAATAATAATTTATCTTTTGAATCATAAGTTAAAAAAAAAATTTGTTCAGCTTAGAGGAAAATTAAATTGAAAAAATATATGCAAATAAGCGTAATGTATCGATTGTAAAAGTTTCCTAATTCATGAATATTTACAAGATATTTTCTTGTAATAAGATATTTATATGTTTATGTACGAATGTGCATCTGAGATATTGATGTCAAGCACTTTTCTTATAATGATTTCACACATTTTCAATGAATGTTTATATAAAATACAAATGTTTTTTTTTTTTTAAATTTTGAACAAGTTTAAAATCAAAGTAGAGATTTTATTCTATTTTTTATTTTATAACCGTCGTTGATCAGTCAACCCAATTTTTTTGGGTTTACGACTACTAATGTTCAACTCCGTAGCCTTGAAATTTTGAATCCAATCCAGATGACAAGGGAACTCCAGGATCAGGTATTGGGAGAAATTTTACTTTTCGGGATAGACTGTTTGATGGAACTCGCATTTGCGTTACATGGAGATGAAAGCCTTCTACGGTTAACCTGACAGCAAACAGACTCTAAACCATGATCCGTCTATCACTGAGAATATTTTACGTCCGCACTGTGGTCGGTGCAAGCCGGATGCGAAATTCGTATTGAGCAGCATCGCTGGGATTCGAACCCGGTTCACCTCATTGGAAGGCGAACACTCTATCCCCTGAGCCATCGCGGCTCCAAGTCAAAATTTCTTTTCTTTTCTCTTATTTTTAATATTACCGTCATTGAACAGCAGACCCAAATTTTTGCGTTTACGACTACTGATGTTCAACTCCGTAGCCTTGTAATTTTGAACCAATCCAGAAGACAAGGAAACTTCTGGATCAGTACTCCCAGAAGTATTGATTTGTTATGGGAACCTGGAAGACTTTGAGACTCGNATATATATATATGTATTGCACAATTTTTGGTGATAAAGTATTATTAAATACCACAATAACTTTAAAAAAAAACTAGAAAATAAAGGGGTCTACTCATTAGAAAAGGAGAAATAGCGTTTGATAATTTTTAAAACTTCTATGAATATTTCCACACAACTTTAAAGCAATAAAATTATGCTATTTGTAGTTTTGAGTAAGTCATTTAGAACTACGCGTTTCTCAGTTTTTGGAATTTTTAAAATCTCACTTTATTACAGTTTTAACTGATGAAAACCAATTAAGATGAAAACCGATTCTTTTAGCGTTAATTGCGTAGAAAAGAAGATACTAATCTAAAAAAAGGCAACTGTATACAATTGGACTACCTTTCAAAAACTGTTGATTGCAGAATTATGTTGGCACAATTTTGTCATGAAAAATTAATAGAAAATTTAAAATGCCGCAAGCTTTATGCTCAAATTCTGATTGGATAACGGTCATGCATTTTACATGTATCGAAAAATATTGCCTTATAGAGTAAATATCCATCATCAATTTGTGAAAACTAAATGAAAAAAGGATTAAAAGCATATTTAGAATTTTGCCTAACTTTCACCGCCCCTTCGAAAGTTGAGTTCCGTCGGAACACAAAGAAAATGAAAGAATCTTCAAAACAACAACGTTCGCACTAGCGATAATTTAATTAAATAAGAAATTTAAAAAATTATAAACTCCTTCCAGTTTCATTCCTATTGTTTGCCATAATAACCGTCGGGAAGAGAAAAATAACCAACTTTCTAATTGAGTTCCGTATTGATGATGCAATATCTATATAAAAATTCGAAACGATTTTCTGAAAAACTTATTTTAGAACAAAAACCAAAAGTGTGGTATTGAGGAGGATGTGTATTCACCTGCATCAATATGTGTGAGTGTGCCCGTCAGCCCATGCGTGACCTTAGCCGTCCCAGTCAAGGTCAGAATTATAAGAACGCAGATGAATAAAAGAGAATTAATTCTTGAGAATTAATTCTTAGATGCACATGACTGAGGTGAAAATAGTTCGAGAGGGAAAAGAAAATATATAAGATGTAATCCCCCTTTAATGTATCTTTTTTTTTAAATAAACAAAAAAAAGAACTAACTGCAAATGCATATTTGGAGAGCCTATTGTTAAACAATGAAATGTCACGAATTCTCGATTCGCGGGAAAAATTAATTTTAGTTGCAAATTTTTTTTCAAAATAATTTTTTCCCAAATTCACTTAACTTTTTGTAGCTAAATTTTTGTTGATGGTTCAAGAGAAATACCAAAATATATAACAATTAAAGTTTGTTCCGTGTTTGAGATATATCCATATTTTCTATTTTTAATCTTTAAAGAATAATAAATATTTTTTACTCTCTCTTGTAGCTTGCCACAAGAGTTGTAACATAGTTGTGGCTATATTATAAACTTTTCACTGGTTTTTTTTCTTTCTTTCTTTTTTTCTTTTTTCGTAGCTTGTCACTCTGCCATAACGTACTTTTCATTTGAAAAGTTTAGAAACTACTTCAATTAGCTAGATGGTAACTTAATATATCTGTATATGTTTGAAAAAAAAAGATATTTTTCCTTGTAAGAATAGGTAAGGTTAATTTAAATAAAGTTAAAACATCTTTTAAAATAAGCACAAATAATGTAATATATATTGACATTCGATCGTTTCGGTTCTATATGTACTAGATCAAACACAATAGTACGTTTGTAGTACCGAAACGATCGTATGTCTGCCATAACGTTACATTATTTCATTATTATTGTTTGGGTCCAGTAAAAATAATACCGCACGAAACGATTATATGTTTGCTTATGTGACAGTGTTTTTACAGTCTAGATTTCCATCTTCATTTTATATATTAAAAAAAAAATACACATTTAAAGCAGTTTCAGGAATTTAAATTTAAAAAAATTAATTTTTAGTATAATTTTATTTCCGACAGCTTTTTTGTTCAATTTCGTTTTCTTCATTTTTAGAGTGTTAATAAGAAATCGTAACAAAAATATTTCATAATAAATACATGAAAAAAGAAAACTTTAAAATATGTGATACCTAATACTTCACAGTAATTGTTTATTCTAGAATTTGATTATTCTACAAAACAATAGCTTTTTTTTCTACTTATAACAATTTTATTCAAATTTGAAGTAGGGGGAAAAACAAGGTAGGGGGAACGAAAAACAATAATAAAGCTTTACACTTTATAAATTCTATCCTTTCTTGGAATTTTTTTTTTTTTTTCATTTCTGCTTAAAATAAAAAATAAATAAAAATTTCTCAACATAAAAATATGTTTTAATTCCGAATTCATTTTTACTAAGCTTTTAACTTAAAATTGATTTCTTTAATTAATTGATTTTTTAAAAGAAAAATCAAATTCAAGGTTACATATTTTTTCAGCAACAATTTCAAGTATCAATCACGACGTCAAAATTTAAAAAAAAATAAAATAAATAAACATTCGGATTTGTTGAATTTAAAAGATACATGCAAACAGCAACATCTTACAATATGTGACAGAAAATTCGAGAACTTTTAAAGGGGGGAAAAAAGATGATGGATATTGCACTAAAAGATAATAAATAGAGCCTTAACTTGAAGAGCCAAGCCTTAGACACATAACTAAGTAAAGAGCCAATTAAGACACACCAAAAGCGTAATGAATTAAATATTAGAGAATCTTTCTTTACAATTAACTATGAATTAACTTTCTTTTCAAATTTACAATTCTTTACAATTATCTATGTAATTATAACTTTTACATTCTTTATGCAAAATATAATAATAATCTACACACAGTTGACTACAACTCTATCCAAATCTTTTTTTCATGCTTTATTCGGGAAAATAAAGCGAAATTCAAACAAGCCGAAAAATTAAAGTTTAAATTAATTAAAAAGTTTGACAAAATACATGATTTTATATAAGCAACGATACATTGTTCTGAATAAACATAAGCTTTTCTAAACTTATTAACAGAAAGATTAAAAGGTTGATGATTAAAACAGCAACATTCGATATAATTAAATAGTTCTTACCCTTTTTAGGTTTTTCGGCATCTGGGAAGCATATTCTAAAAAGGCCAACATCCCTGCTAAAATACCTGACATCTTCATCAAATTCTTTCTGAGAGGAAACAGGTTCTTTTTCTTCGATATAAGTCCGATTCACTCGAATTTCGTACCAATTATCAGTGCCGAATGCTATAGCCAAGCAAGCCACAGCAACAACAGCTGTGATTGTGGCAAAAGACAAAGTCACTGCAGAGCAAGCCATAATTATACACAAACAAAAATAATTATACAAACGATATTTATGATGGGAGGCAGGAACACTCAAAATTTCACACAATTTGAATCCAAATATTCTAACGAATTAATAAACTTATATCAAAAAAATTTTTGAATTCGAATATTTCACAAATCAAGAATGAAAATCGTCTGCTATAAATAAATCGTTTGTTTATAATCACATAGACGTCGAAAAGGAATAGTCTATTGTGTGATGAATCATTGTGTTTCGGTTCGCGTCCGTCTACATCCGCCAAGGTGCTCGTAAGATCTGAAACTGAGGGTTATTCGGATTGTGAAGTTTACGTTGAATACGTCACAGCAGCTGCGGTTGAACGAATACCTGCCTCTTCGTTTGTGACGCGAACAGGTAGATTCTGGCTTCTCTTAAGATACCAGATCTCGTTTTCTTCGCCTTTGGCAAAATATTTGATTCCTGCGTAAGCTAAGAATCTGTTTCATTACACGTAGACGCTATGGAACCGGTTGTGAAGATGTTCTAAAATCATACAGAAAATATTTTTTTTTTATTAAGAATACATATAATATTTACTTGCCCATACTGATTCATTAAATATAGTCCAATGAAACACAAATCAGAAATCCAATTTCCTTCATTACTCAAGAAATAAATTTATAATTTATTGTTCAGTAATGTTATTAAAAAAAAAAAAAGGTTCCATTCGTAGTTATTGATTAGTAATTGCAATAATCTTAAACAATGTTATTTACAGCACATTTAATTTTACATCGTAGCTAATTTTTTTTTAAAAAATTATTAATAAAATCAAATTAATATTATCCTAAATAAATTTAAACGAGATTTTAAAAAAAGGAATAAAATTTATTGGAAAAATGTTGATTGAAAAAAAAAAAAACACGTAACTATAGTGAAACTGAAATAATATTAACAGTGAGATTTTTTGTGAAACATTCTCAGAAGGCAGTAAATATTAGAATATATGACAGTATTTCTTTTATTTTTTATTGTACCGAAATAGAGAATTAAAAAAATAATGGGACATCTATAAATAAGATTAAATTAACAATGTCTGTATACAACAAACGAAAAAAAAAACCAAATAAAAAGAAACATATTTTGGTCCGGGGGGGGGGGAAGAAAACTAGTAAGTCTATTCAGAATTAAATATTGTCGTCTGAGAGAACTTTAGTGAAACATTCTCAAGTATATGACAATATTTTTTTTAAAATTTTTTAATGGAATGAAATGTAAAATTCTTTTTAAACAAATATTAAATTTATCTTAATGAACAGAACAAATGAACAGATTTTGGTCTGAAAAAAAAGAACAGTAAATGCATTGAAGCTAAAATAACGTCAACCGAGGTCTCCTGTAAAGCACTTTTTTTTCGTATTTAACAAATTTTTGATTATATTGTAATATAAGATAGCACAATACCTTTGAAATAAGGTAGTAAATAAGAGGATCGCTTTATTAGACAATGAAAAAATGAGCTTGATAATTTTTAAAAAAATTTTCCCCAGAAATAAAAAGGAATAAAAGTCATAGAGTCATCATTTGAGTAAGTCATTTAAAACTACACACTTCTCAACATTTAAGGATTCATAGTACCCCTGCAAAAAAAATTTTTAAATAGAGGTTTAATCATTCATTTTGTGAATGCTTTACATGCTCATTTAACTTATAATCAATAATTTATCTTCAAAAAATAATTAAACTGTTTATTATTTTTTTTAATTATTGAAAAAATTCAAAATTTTTAAATCCTTAAAGCTTTTTTATTTTAACATATTTTCAAAAAAAAATTTTTTTTTCTTAGTGCTTAAAATATTCATCTTAACAATTTTGTGTATTCATTTATAAATATATCGATTAGAATATTTTGAATAGATTATTTTGTAAAAAAGCAGAAAAAAAAGGTTAAAAATTCCTGTTAGGTATATATAACATGCTGTAAAAATTGTAATACCTCATAAAAGGTTTTTTCCACGCACAGTTTACATAAGTGTAATAAAAAAAATTCATTAGGGATTTAATTAAGATTGAAACACAAAATTATCATCGGTGAGAAAAAGCACTTTAAATTCTGTCTGCTGAGCAAGTTTTTATATTAGGGCATTCCAAAATCATTCATAACTTTTTTAAAAATATAGATAGAGAGATGATTTTTTTTCAGTGCATTTGAAATAGTTCGAAGTTTTAATGTAAGCAATCAATTTTTTCTCTCGATATTTTGGGTACGGAGACCCCTTAAATTTTTTTAAATCTAGATTTATTACAGTTTAAATTCATGATAACCGATTTGGGTGAAACCAAAAAATTCTTTTAACGTTAATTGCATAAAAAAATAACTATAAGATTCTTATAAAAAAACAGGCAACTTTCTACTATTTAACTGCCTATCAAAAACCGTGGCGACACTAAAAAATTCTTTTAACGTCAATTGCACTAAAAAATAACTATAAGATTCTTATAAAAAAACGGGCAACTTTCTACTATTTAACTACCTATCAAAAACTGCGACGACACTAAAAAAGTCTTTTAACCTTAATTGCATAAAAAAATAACTGTAAGATTCTTAACAAAAAACGGGCAACTTTCTACTATTTAACTGCCTATCAAAATTCCTGGCGACACTAAAAAAGTCTTTGAACGTTAATTGCATAAAAAAATAACTTTAAGATTCTTACCGAAAAACAGGCAACTTTCTACTATTTAACTACCTATCAAAAACCGTGGCGACACTAAAAAAGTCTTAACATTAATTGCATAAAAACATATCTAAAAGATTCTTATCAAAAAACAGGCAACTTTCAACTATTTAACTACCTATCAAAAACCGTGGCGACACTAAAAAAGTCTTTTAACGTTAATTGCATAAAAAAATAACTATAAGATTCTTATCAAAAAACGGGCAACTTTCTACTATTTAACTACCTATCAAAAACCGTGGCGACACTAAAAAAAGTCTTTTAACGTTAATTGCATAAAAACATATCTAAAAGATTCTTATCAAAAAACAGGCAACTTTCTACTATTTAACTACCTATCAAAAACCGTGGCGACACTAAAAAAGTCTTTTAACGTTAATTGCATAAAAAAAAAAAAAACTATAAGATTCTTATAAAAAAACAGGCAACTTTCTACTATTTAACTACCTATCAAAAACCGTGGCGACACTAAAAAAGTCTTTTAACGTTAATTGCCTAAAAAAATATCTAAAAGATTCTTATCAAAAAACGGGCAACTTTCTACTATTTAACTACCTATCAAAATCCGTGGATTGCAGAATTTTATTGGCATAAAAAATTTATTTCTCAAATTGTGATTGGTTGATGGCCTTGCATTCTACATGCATCAAAAGATTCTGCTGTGGACAGTTTATTTGCGAAAATATAGACAATTAAAATAAAACCATATTTAGAATTTTTCCTTCATGTCTGCACTCATTCGACGCTGATTCCGTTAGGTAGAGAAACGGCCTCTTAATTCAAAGAACAGCTTATGTTCAGGAAAAATTGGTAATTTATTGCATTTACATTCAAAAAATTTAATGAAAATTAGCATGATGAAAAGAGAAAGAATTTTGAATCGCGAACAGGTTACGGTGGTAAATACCCTTACCACGGGCGTAAAAGGGGGGTGTCCATGGGGTCCGGACCCCCCCCCTTAGCTTGAGTTTTTTTTAATATCCATATTTCCAAATATCGCACAGAACTTATTATAATATACGTCTTGCCAAAAAAAAAAATTTAAAAAATATGTGGCGAAAAAATTTTGTTTGCACCTTACAAAAGCTGAAGAATCCCTATCCCTGGCTTTGCATGTTTCATTGAGCGAAAGAAACGAAAGTTTCATCAAGAAAGTTCCGACGAAATTGTAAATAAGTTATCAACAAGGCGCAAAAGATTAAATGTATTACTTTAAGCAATTAACATTTTTCTATGCTCTTTGATCATTGTTTTCCTTGCAATAAACAAATATTTTACACACCTGTATGATTACTGAAATATTAGTAGCTTATATTATATATATATATGTAATGGAAATTCTCGACCCCCACCTTGTAAAAGCTATAGCTACGTCCGTGACCCTTACCACTACTAAAATGTTGATGGAAAGCTGTTGTACCACCTATGATTTGTGCTGCCATCTGTTGATAACTTCAGAAACACTAACAAAAAAATACCTATGAAACTCTTTATTTATATAAATATGGGTAACAGTAAAGGTTAGAGTGCGATGGGGAGTTATGTTTTCATTCGTTTGTCATACAGTTTATTTCAACTAATTATATTCACAGAATTTATAAAATCGGTTATTTATAAGTACAAATGCTCAGGCTGGGATAGCCTGGTTGGTAGGGCACTTAGCCCATGACAAAGAGTTCGTGGGTTCGATCCCCGCCGGTCGAAGATTCCCCGTGTAGTAAATGGCGACTAATGCACGTTAAATCTGTCGAGTCGCAAAGTCCTCCATGTTCCCGTAACAAATCAATACCTCTGGGGAAACTGTTCTAGGAGTTTCCTTGACTTCTGGATTGGTTCAAAATTACAAGGCTACGGAGTTGAACATTAGTAGCCATAAACCCAAAATTGGGTCGGCTGTTCAACGACGGATAAAATAAGTACAGATGTACAAGATAATGGTCATTTTCTTACAGTAGAAGTTTTTAAAATCCTACTTATCTTCTTACCTACCATCCAAAAGAATGTCTTAAAAATTAATTTTAGGAATTAATCAATCTTTGTTTTTGAGTGATTTGTGCTAAGATAATTTCTTAACAACATGCATTGATAGAGTTGTCACTCAAATCTGGAGAAAAAATTCCCTTTACATATTATACACAATATATTAAAAGAAAAAACACAATCAATGCTCNGAGCTATTGTTGGGCTAACTATATTTATTAGTTTTAATTGTTGGAAAAACTTAAGAGAAAAAAGGGAACACACTTAAAACAAATAATGCTATAGTAAATGAACTAGTTTAATAGAGTGGAAATATCATCCTTAAATATCCCAAAGATCGCGCTTTGAGTGATTATCATTTTTTTAAAAGACAATAAGAAACAAAATTCTCTGTATTTTTCCAGTTTCTAAAAAAAAAAAAAAAATTTTTTTAATTTTTCTCTTATTTTAGGTGATTTTTATACTCCCTGTATTTTCCAATTTTTCCCTGATTGACTTTATCTATAAAATATCATTATGCAAGTGTAATGGGGCGAAATCCTTAGAAAGCTAGTAATTAAAAATTTAATGTTCGCCTACATCAATAGTATCTGATATTTGAAAAAAATTAAGAATTTTTTACTGAATATGAAAACTTGTTGGACATTGAAAATAAGGAAATTAGTTGCTGATTCAGAATTTGACACAAAATTATATAAATGCCCTATTAAATTATTTTTTTTTAAATAAAAAGTGCATTAAATAGTCTTAATTTTTTTTTTCAATACAGACTTAAATCTTTATAAGCACCTTTAAATTTATTAATGGGTAATACTACAGTTAAAGTAAAGAAATGTCTGTAAATGCTATAATCAAAAGAAAACAAGAGAATTATGGCAAGAAAGAAATTCCTGCAGAAATACTTACTGTAGGAAACAACATGCAGAGAAATTTTTTTTTTTAACCTTACAATTTTTTTCAATCTGATAATGATCATTATTTCATACCTAAAATTTTTTTTATAACGTTAAAATAAAATAAAAATTTAATACATTAATTATTATTTTTATTAAAAGCTCTGAATAATAATTATTTTTTAAAACAATTGATAATGGGTAAGAAATTTAATTTAATCAAAAATAAAATGCTTGCAATTGGAAAGTAAAACATAATTATTACATAAAATTATTTACTAAAATAGCACTCATGATAAAAGAAAAAAAATCATTAAATCATTGGATACATTTTATAAAAAATAAAACAGTTTTAATGTCTAATAATATATGGAAACATATTTATGGTGAATTTGTGTGTGTGTGTCTAATACTCTATGAATTGATTGAGACTTTCCATAAGAATTCTGGGTTTTTTCAGTTTTCACAGAGAGTAGCCATTCTATTTTCAATATTTGACAGGGTAAAACATCAGGAAACATTCAGCATTAAGACTAGTTTGAATTAGACACAATTTAGTAGTAATCATGGTAAAAGAAATAAGATAAAGAATATATATTTTTTTAAATAAAATCATCAAATATTATTGTATTAATATAAGATATTATTTTTCTTAATAATCTTATATAATCACATTGTTTCAGTAATGTTATGATCATTTTTTAAATGGTCATAATAATACTATAACTTAATCTGCAGTAAGTAATTTTCTTTATTTTTTATGTTTATTGATGAAAGTAAAAAATTACATTACCAAAGGTTCCGTCCTAATTATTATGTAGTCAGATTTCAGTTGCAAAAGGAAAAATTAAAAGATAAAATTTTACATAAACTCCTACCAGAAAAAAAAATGCCCTAAAACAGTTAGTAGCGTAAATCTCATCAAAATCTAGGCCTTACTAATGAATTATTTAAGAGAAATTTAAAAAAGAGCTTTTTACAATAAATTTTCGCATACCACAGCAATGAAACTATATAAGAGCTATTAGTTCATGTGTAAAAAATGTTAACAGTTTTTTTCTTCTTATTTTAAGGACAAAAGAAATACACACATAATTGATAAGAAATTTTTTCTTTTAAAAAAGCAACAGTTTTTAATAAGACTATTACTTGGTAACATTCTTAACAATATTTACACAAAACATATTAATAAAATCAGTTACACCAATATTTGCAACATATTTCTAGCTCTTTCAAACTTGACCAAGTCTTCATCACCTTTAAAAAATAAAAACCATAAATAATATTAATGACCTCTACATGTTTATATGATTGAAATTACAAACAGTACATGTAAAATTGTAAAAAAAAAATCACGGGATTTTAAAATCAGCCACTTATAAAAATCAAATTTACAAGAATAGTATCATTACTATTCTGCTTCTGTACATTACTGCTAGGAATGTGTTTTTTATTTTTTAATTTTTCATTTTTATTTAATTCATTAGAACTTTCTAGTTTCTCAAGTCTTGAAAGATATGTAGCACATCAATAACACATTCTCTTCTTTCTAAGAACAAAAACAACCAAGTTACAGATGTGGATTACAGTTACAGTTCAAAGAGAAATGGAGTGAGATTTAAAAAGTACTACAGAGAAATAGTGTAAAAGATTCCAAATGAAAACTATTTATATGAGAAAAATTATGGAATGGTTTCATCATTGACATCATTCAATGTCAATCACACACTCAAAAATTCAATAATCAATTAAGGTAAGATTATTTTCAACAGATATCTGAAAAACGGTTAATATTTTAAAATAAACTTTATAGCAAACAAACAAAATAATTAATGTTTAAAAACTTTTAAACCATATTGAATCTTTAATCTCAAAGTTTGATAAGTAAGAAAATCCTTTTGTAAATTAAAAATTATAGCTCTTGTGTAATTAAAATGTCAAATGTAAATTCAGTTAAAATAAAACAAGAATATTGTAATCAGTTAACCTTTTAGTGTATTTGTAAAATTTAAATATTTTTCCTAAGTGTATATATTCCAGTTTGTAAAATCAGCTGCTTTATAAAATCAATTATGAATAACACGGTTTTAATAGATGGTGGGCACTGTATGCAAAAATGATGTTTAAAAACACGTTCACTTAAAAATACTTTGAAAGGAGCTGATGAATTTTAAACAATTTGCTATTGCACTGCAAAATTTACACTACAGAATCTTGTTCAATTCAACATTAGTATTACACAAAATTCAAACATATTAGGTTAATAAAATAAATATTTACTTATACACTGTCACAAAACACTGAAAAAACTCTGACCCGATCTTTTCCATTTTGAAATTCTTTTTTATTTTACTAAAATGACTTTGACACATCTTTTCCACATTATTTTTTAAAATTTTTTCTAAAATATTACATTTAAGTTATACGAAACAGATGAATTTTTGATAAAGAATTAAAGTATAATAAAAGTTTAGATTAATGGTTACAAATTATAAGCAAATTAAGTTCAGCGTTATACCTTATCGTTACCAATCCAGCTATAATTTTATATTTTAAGAAAGAAAAAGATTAATGCAATTTTAAACATATAGACATAAAAGTCAAATACATATAGTTTTTTTAAACATATTTTATGAGTTCTATATACTTATAGCTCATGCACAATAAATAAAACTTACTAATTTTCTTTTTATCCTTTTTGTCTATATTGTGCTTTATTGTGATACGTATATTGTGCTATATAGTGTGTGTGTGTGTATATATATACACACACACAGTTTTAATTTATTCTGAATGCTATAGAATGACCAAAGTCTGGAAAAAAAATCAAATATGCAAGCAAAATATAAATAATTTATAGATAAATAATGCAGAAAATCATGGAATAAGCTGAACTGGAAATAGAAATTGTAACAATTGATTTGAAAAACACATCCAGAAAAATACAAATTGAAATATACATCCCGACAATGCTGGCTAAATAATTGAATATTTCTATTTAAATTTCTACAATAAATCGATAGATTAATCAAAAAATTTTTGTTAGAAATTATTTTAACTTTCAGAATAAATAAAAGACGGATGTTGACTTCAAGTACTAATTCATACCTATCTTATTTCAAAAATTACAAATAAAAACAATTTTAACTTGTAAATTAAGTATACAACATTCTTTTTAAATCTTAGAAAGAAATTTGCTTACTCATATCTTCTTCAGTCTTTTCTTCAAATGATTTTATAACATTTTCACATTCATCACTTAGTCTAGATCTAGCTTGTCCTTTCAAATCAATAACATAATTCAGTAGTATTTCAAAATCCTTTTCCTCAATCTATAATGCATACAAATAATAAACAAAATATAAACCCTAAATTATATCACATTTAAAAAAAAATATAAAAAAATTGATGAATGGATCAAAATAATTCTTAGTCGTTTGCGTAAAAGAAGATTATTTTATCGTTAATTAAACGAAATTAATAAAACATTAACCAAAAAAACTAATATCTCATTTGCACTGACACGACTGAATATGTCTGACATCACGCAGAAATATCTTACACCTGAGCACTCACAAGAACAGACAAGCAACTTAAAATTAAATTATCTGGTCAGCGCAAATAAGAACAAAACAACTGCACAAAATTTTAAACTAAATTAAACCGTTTAACCGTTATGATTTTTTAAATATTCATTTTGATTTCTTTTGTTATTTTTTTAAAGATTGAGAAATTTTATATTGCAATTGGTCGAGCTTTATAAATACAATTATACTTGATATAATAAAATTAAATCAGAATAATACTTTTGAGAAAACATTACCGCATTAAAAATTGTTTTGTAGCAATACATAATAAGTGAAAATGCAATACTCAAAATTATTGAAAATGGAAATGTATCATTAACAACTCAAAAACAAGCTATAATAAACAAATGTCACAATATTGATTTTACAGATATATTTTTTTTATTCCTTAAATACACTTTTGAAATGGTGAAATATAGTGTGATCCTTTATACTTTAATGGTTGATTGACAAAATATTACAAAATGGGATAACTTAACTGACCAATTTAATAAAAAAAAATCACAATATAAGGAAATAAAATCAGCATTTAACTTAAGTCTGAATTTTTATTCCATGTAGAATAATTCCCATTTAAAATTGTATATACTTGATTAACTTAAAATTTATATTTTCAGAATTAAAATTAAATGTGGTTAATACGATAATATTCTAAAATTAGGAATTGGTACCATTTTTATGACCATCATGATTTTTACAAAAATAGCATTTCCACCCTGTTCTTTATTATTCTGAAAAAATTGAAAGAATTATAAGATTATCAAAATGTTATTTCAAAAGTGCTGCAAATTGAAACTTATTAACACAGAATATATTTACAAAATAAATCTTAAAATTACGAAAAGCAATAAAAAAAAACTTAAATAATCTCCCTTAAAAAAATATCATTTGATTTTCTTAAAAGAAAAAACAAACAACAGCAAATTGAGATTCAAGCGAAGAATAATTTTAGAATAAGTAACATCTTCAGAAAATGCAAAACAATACATATAATGCTAAGTTACAAGGGAAGCTACACCTCATAACTTTTAGTATTCCACATAATTGGAAATTTTATAAAATATAAGCACTGTCCTGAAATTCAAAAGGTTTGGTCAATAATAAATACTGAGTATGGCAGGAACAAAGTTACTGATTGCAACCATTACCACACATAACAAGTATTGAGCTTTACTCCATATCTGAGCTTTCAGGAATTATTTTTTCTTGCCATTTGAAACAAATTTTAGTTTTGTAGTCTTTTTATTAGTGGTTTGCAAACAAATAATAATAATAATTAAAACTTCTGCAAAAATTGTGTTATTTGATCATTTGTAGTGAAGAAACTTATTATCTTGAAGTTTCAGGAGGAAAAGAAAGAAAAAAAAAACCTCATTGGGATTATCGATAACGGTCAAAATAACTTCAATTAATGGGTGTCAATAAATCATTGCCTTATACTTAAACATTTATTGAAAAGATATAAGTATTGCCATTATTTTTATTTGTGAAAGAGTCCAAACATTAAAAACGAGAATTTGATGAATCCAATGATTTTTATGGCTATATATGATGTCCTCTCAATGGTAAAATTTTTTTAAAGTGTTGTTTATATTATTAACAGTGAAAAAAAAATTAAGAATGTAGAATATCCTTATAAAGCAATCCTACTCTATTTTAATAATTTCTGCCATAATCTTTCTATGCAAAAGAGCCCTAAAATTAAAACAGAGAATTTAGCCAATGAATTTTATGATTGTTAAATTAAATTCCTGTCAATTGATATTACTTTTTATCTGTTCCTTACATTAATTTGGTTGAAAAAGAAAAGAAAAGTAACAATGAAGAATTCTGTTATCATACAATTTTACTCTATTTTAATAAGAAGTTTCTTTAATATTAACAATTTTAATTACGCTAAGTAAAGGCCAAATGTTTATTAGATATATGAATATTAAAGACCATATGACTATATATATATATAGGTCTGGCTGATAATGCGAATAGAATTAAATAACTAATAAATTATGAAAAAAAAGGAGAAAACAATTAATCAAACTCACATCTTCAGTAGAAAAAATATTTTTAAGTAACCAAGTCTGCAGATTTTTTTTAAAAGTCCACGTTTCCCTAGATGAATTCCATGAATGCAGATAGTCAATTGCCAGTTTTCTTGCCTCTGAAACATCTTTTTTCACACTTTTTTCTCGAGCTTCTTTCTTACGCTGCTTCTTCAAACGCATTTTCTCTTTCTTCCTCTCTTTCTCAGCAGCAATTTGAAGAAGATCTGCAGGATCATCCTCTTCTTCACTTGACTCTGCTTTCTGAACAGGCCTGGTATATTGGTGAGCTTTTGCCAAAACTAAATTCTTGATGTCAGTGTGGATTTTCGATTTAGTTTTCATTTTCAAATTTTTGTTAAAAAGAAAAATATATTAACAGGGGAGTCAAACCTGAAATATTAAAAGCAATTATAAGAAAACAAACACAGGCTTTTAACAGTTAAAATATAAAATTAAAATAAACTCATATGCTGATTAGCTTTTTAACATACTTTCTACTAACTAGTACAAAATTTCTGTAGCGTTAGAAAAAATTCTTCCTAGTGGCAGCAAAGGGAGTGTATTAATAAAATAAATTTGAACACTAAGAATTTTGACGAGTAATACATCTAAATGATTTAAACAGATACACTAAAGGTCAGATTGCTTACTGATTGTGTTCCGTTAATAGTTTAATAAAAATTTATTTGTCATAAAATTACATGCTTCAGTACACTATCACAGAAATACAAATTTCCAGAAAACCTCAAACGTTGAAAAAACAGTCTTTCAATAAAAATAAAAAAATTAAAGAACATGTATTTAAACTTTTTTTTAAAGATTTGTAAAACAATCTTGTTTAATTGATGGAAGTTTTTTGTTTCAGCAAGCTTCAAAAGCAGCCATGTTTACAGCAATAAAACAGATATATATTTTTCTACTTTTCCTAACAATAATGCTTTCATAGTTCTAATATTAATATTATTTTTTCATATTAATCTTCTCTTTCTGGTTTCGTTCTTCTAAGACAAAAGTACTTGTGCAAAAGAGAACTAATCATATCTTTAATTAACCAAAAGAAGCTTTAATGAAAGAAATATACGAAAGGAATTGTTTGCATTTCCAATATTTTGATAAGGAAAAATAGAAATGTACAAATATATGATTATAATTTCTAACCGGAATTTGGCAGTAATGGGAATATTATAGTATTTAATACAAGAATAAGGATTATCTTAAGCTACATGAACAAAGATATAATAAATTTAAAATATCCTTATATTTCATTACTAGCAAAGACATCATCAAACTTAGTTCCTATGAGATTCGTAGAAGAATAAATATCTTAAAATAAAAATAACCCTTTCTGCAAAGTTAATAAGAAATATATAACATTAATTGTAGTGAAAGGATCAAAGGAGTTTCAGAAAAAAGTAGCAAACTTACTAATTTAATATACAACCTTTCGAATTTTACTTTGAGTTTAAATATGTTAGCAATTAACTGCTAATGAAATAGTACATTAATTTTGAAACTTTCAAATCAGTTCAGATATAATTTCTATTGTTGATTTCAATCACTTTGAAATGATATTTTTATTTTATTTTACAACATAAATTTCCAACACAGGAACACACATGCCTTTATTTACGTTATTGAGTGCCTAATTTTGCTCACTTCAAGGTTAGTCGAAATACTGCGTAAAAGATCTTTGATATTTGCTTGTACTCTTTAAATCTAAGTTATTTTACCCTTTTATTTTTTTACATTTAAAATGAAGTGAAGAACTAAATTAGTTCGCAAAAATATTTTTTTAATTCCAGTTATTCCGATTCCGCTCAAATATGCCTGTTTAGTCATCATTGAGATTAAAAACTCAGTAAACTCGTTTTTACAGTGTTAAACAGTTTTATTCTTTGGCTCTGGAATAAATATTTACACTTTCGTCCGAGTTTCTAAGTTTTAGAGGACGAAAGTTTTGAAAAGAATTTTGTTTCAATTGAATACTCACACGAAGTAAAATGATACTTAGAGCCTCAAGAATACTTACTCAACGACTAAATTTCAATGCTAAACAAGTGATTCCTAAGCGTAATAGCGGTTTTGAAGCGTGAGTTTCTAATTGAAGAATTAACTACTTACTATAAATACATTCATTTATTACTTACTATTTATTTCAGTATTTCCTTTCTTTAATTTTTCTTTTTCTTTAGTAATTTATTGCTAATTTTTTTCTTATCTCATTTAATGATAGTAGGCATTGTTTTTCATACTGTAAATGTGCCCTTGGTGTTATAGCACCAGGAGTAACATGCCTCTGAGTGGGATTTACTATATCATTCCTATTCCTATAATAATTTCCTATTGTTTATCATTTTTCATTGTCATCATTAAAATGTTTTAATACAATTCCACGTTGTAATAATGAATTTCTGTACTGTGAAAGATTAATTTAATGTTCTAAACAATTAATTTAAATGTTTTAATACAATTCCACATTGTAATAATGAATTTCTGTACTGTGAAAGATTAATTTAAATGTTTTAATACAATTCCACGTTGTAAGAATGAATTTCTGTACTGTGAAAGATTAATTTAATGTTTTAAACAATTAATTTAAATGTTTTAATACAATTCCACGTTGTAATAATGAATTTCTGTACTGTGAAAGATTAGAGAATATGTTAATTTTTGTACCTTTAATCCTTTATAGTAATATTGGGAAAGAATTTAATTTTTTGAAAATAAATTCTTTGATTAAAAACAACTTAACAATACTATGCACTTAGTGGTTTTTGTTCACATGAAACTGTGGGAACGTTTCCGTATTGAACCTGTTTGTGCCTACTACGATCGACAGTGCACTAAATGGTTTTGTACTTATAAATTTTTTTTAATATGTAACTGGACTGGCCATGACTACGAGTCATAGGGAGATTTCCGTATAGTGATCTGTGGCAGAATACTTGCCTAGTCTTGGCAACTTCCGAGCAGCAGCCAATGAGAATCGAAAGAAAACATCACAGAAAGTGACCAACTCTAAAGGTATAACTCGTAACCACCCCGGGCAAACATCTACTTGTTTTATATTTGGAAAAGAAAAACCGAGAACAGAAGGACTACAAATAATTTTACTGGCTATCAACATTTTTCAAATTATATGAGGCCTTGTGTAGGTTAATATTTATATGAAGTATTTTTTTTATTTTTAAGGTGGGTTTATCGATCCAAACCAGTAGCTCCTCCAAGGCATAGATTTTGGATTGCTGATGGATTTAATGCTTTCATGTGGTGGTGGATTTTTGTCCATTGTTATTATGATTGGGGACACATTGTGGTAAGTTTTCATTTTAATCTCATTTTTATATGTAATTTTTTTTAAAATTCATTTTAAAACTGATTTTTAACATTTGTTAATTACCAGGTAATATGCTTTTATTTCAAGTTGTGGCTATTAACTTTAATCTAATAACATCCGAAAATGTCATTAGAATTTAAATGTCTAATTAATTTATTTTATGTTCTAATTTATTTATTTGATCTACTTTTATCATGCCTTTTAATGTAATAAACAAAAAGTCTGCAAGAGATTCGTCCTATGAGCATACCTGCCATGTCTCCTGTTTACCCGTATACTCTCAAATTTCTCCGTATTTGTTGAAGGAATTTAAAAAAGAAAAACTGGAGATAAAATATCTGCTGATGGTTAAAACACTTCGCTTTTTCCTCAACAGATGGTGCTATTGTTAGTATTGATGTTGAGTGTTAATAGTTTAAGTAATTATAAATAATGGTTTAAAAAAATATTTAGATTAAGATTTACATATATATTTTTTACTTTGCTAAATGTAAGTGCTTATATTATTTCCAATTTTGAATTTCTCTTTTTGATTTACGTGATGTATTAAAACACTTTACTCATAGTCAAAAAAATGTCTCCAGTAAAATCTCTGTTGTTTTGTTTCTTTAATGTTGGCAGGTATGTATGAGTATGGTGAGAACCTTGATGGCTCAGGGGATAGAACATTCACCTTTCAATGAGGTGAACTGGGTTTGAATCCTTGCGATGACTGGTCTATATGAACTCCGCATCCGACTTGTATTGACCACAGTGCAAGCGTTAATTATCCTCAGTGGTAGACGGATTATGGGTTAGAGTCCTCTTTCCGTTAGGCTAAACCTTGGGAGGTTTTCATAGTTTTCTTTTCCAAGCAACGCAATTTAATGCAATGTTTCATCTCCATGTAATGTAAATGTGGGTTAATTTCATTCAAATTTCTCCCAATACTTGGTCCAGGAGATCCCTTGTCCTCTAGATTGGGTTTAAAATCACAAGGCTAGAGAGTTGCACATTAGTAGTCGTAATCCCAACATTAGGTCTGCTGTTCAACGACGGTTATAAAAAAATAGTAATAAGTAAATAAAGTCTGAGTATGTTAAAGGATTTATCTCTGCAACCTCAAAAACCAATATTGCTTAAGGAACATGGTTTAAAGAGGAAGAAAACCCTAATATCAAAATTAAAGAACATTCCTCCAAATAAAGGGCTTTAAAAGCTATTTCTTAAAAGTACAACAAGTACAGGGTATTTCAAAACCTATTAAATAGGTATCTAATTTACATTCTAGTTTTAAAAGTTGTTGGAGCTGTCCCGAAAATCAATAACTGCTAATAACTTTAATAATCAATAACTTTAATTTCTAATGTGCAAGTATCATTGTTCATAGAACATAGAGAAGAAAATGAAAATTATTCATTGATTCTAAAAGTAATAAGGTAGTAGTGGACAACTGACTAATGATAGCTATCAATCGACTAATAAGTCTTCCAGTTAATGGTAACTTACTTCATTTTTTCAAGAAATAATGTATCAGATAGACAATTTAGATTCTATTTCTTTTCAAGCTTTAATTGCCAGTCCTGTTGCAAGACTTTATTTGAAGACAGCGTGTAGTTAGGAGATGAATGTGTGAGCAAGATCACAGAACATACAGCTTTTATTTGCAACTTAATTTGCATTATATCGATGCCTACAACTAATACACTAGCACAGCTATTAAAATTTACTTAAGAATAAAAATAAATGCTAATTTTCTTCTGGGCGTGCAATGTGACAACTCTGGCCCCCGAATGAATCACCTGCTTACTCAGTGTTAAATTTATTATCTTTTTGAATGGTATTAGGATAATTCTGATATCTACAGTTGGTAAAATAAAACGAAGCAGCGTAAATAATTTTTGATCAAATGATTGGATTTTCATGTATTTTACTTATCCTGTTACAAGTATCCCACTTAATGTATCACAATCATTTAGTATTGATCAGACAAATTGTTTTTCAGTAGTTTTACTGCATTTCATAATTTTTGAAGAGTGTTTTTCATATTTTCGTGTGCTTATTCATTAATGTCTCAATAAATATGCTAGCAGACTGGTATAGGCATGCTATTTCAGTACATTTTATTCTAGTTAAGTTACATGTCTGGTTGACTATATAAAACCTTTTAAGTGGTTTGCTACTTGGACGAATTTGTGAAAAACTTCCCTGCCAAGTACATTATTGTTATTTTAAAAAAACTGTGCGGAAAAGGAAAGAAATTACATCTTCACCTGAGCTTGGAGCCGACATATGGAATTAGACATATAAATCTTTTAACATATTCTGATTTTTCTCATATTGGTGAAGGAAAAACATAAGAATTGTGCTGTTTACTTAAAATATTTCAAGCTGATGTGGAAATATCTATTAGGTTCTTGTTTGCAAAATTTTAATTGGCAAAATCAATAATCCTTACTTTTACACTTGTTTACCTATTTTTCTTTTCTTGACATTCACAATTAATAATTAAAATGATTTTAAAAGGTAAGTTTTTTTTAACAATTGTTGTTTCTCTTTAAACCTTCTTCCATTTTGAATTATTATTTAATACTTACATGTACTGAGTTCTGAAAAATTTAATGACTTGGCAAAATAAATTTATTATATTGAGGGATAAGACAAAAATAAGATCTTTTCCAGAGACATTATAATTTTTCAAGAAATTTCACTTTACCTTCAATTAAATCTTCTTCTGAACTATTCTACTGCCAGTACTACTACAAAAACCCTCAATTGATTTGCTTTCTTGTGTTCAACATCTTTTACCTGGTTTATATTTTATATTAACTATTTTACAGGGTGAATTTGAATATCCTAAACCGCACAAATGGACTGATGCTGAATTGGGAGTAGTAGAAGAATTATAAGCATAACATTATGTAAATACAAAATCTGTGTACTTGAAAAGTGTTTTTCTTTTTTGAAATTAGTGAAATAAATAAATCTTATCCGCTTTAATGTTGTTTTTGTATGCACATCAATTGATCAAGTTCATTGTTTATTATGATTATAATGCATAATTTAAGAGGCCTGTTTCATACCAACTAAATTCAATTGTAAAACGGGTGTCGACCGACGAGGAAGTGTAAAAATTCTAAACAAGCCAAAGTTGGATATTTTTTATTCAGTATTTTTCAAAACATAAAATACAAGATTATTTTCTCTTCAGTATTTTTAAAAACATAAAATACAAGTTGGATATTTTCTCTTCAGTACTTTTAAAGACATAAAATACAAGCTGGATATTTTCTTTTCAGTATTTCTAGAAACTTAAAATAAGAGTTAGATATTTTCTACTTAGTATTTTTAAAAAAATAAAGTAAAAGTTTAATATTTTCTCTTTAGTATTTTTTAAAAACATAAAATACAAGTTGAATATTTTCTTTTTACTATTTTTAAAGACGTAAAATACAAGGTTGTTACTTAATCAGAAGGAGAGTTATGAGTTTGACTGGATTTTTCCTGAAAAAATTATTCTTATTCAATTATACGATCAGCGTGTTTTTGTTCTCCACATTTGCTTGTTTTCAAATTTTCGAAAAATTTCTTTGTTTTTGCATGTTTTATTTTAAGAGAATTTTATAGTATGTTCCAAATCTATTGTCATCTATATAAACTATGATTGAAGCCAATTTTAAAAAATCTAAAATCAGCTCTCTTTCTTTTTTTACATTGGAGAAAAAAAAACGACGTCTTGTTTTCTGCCTTTTTTTTAAAGTATAATTTGATGGAATGATATACTATTTTCAAAAATTTGGTTAGAGCAAAAAAAAAGAAAAAAAGATCTGAAAAATCAAAATTTTAATCGAATTTCCAAGATGGGGAACGAAGTCTCTTAACAGAGTGTTTACTACTTACAAGCAGCATCAAATTTTATTAAAAATCATTTCTTGACTTCGTATGTCTTTCTTCTAATACCGTCACCTATTTTTAAATTTTGGTAATTTTATGTATTTCGTGATTTCGAAAAGCGTTAACCACCTTGTTTAGATTCATTTCAATTTTATTCAAATATTGAGAGATCTATTAATTATGGATTATGACTATGATGATTCATAATTGTTAGGTATTTAATTTATGTCAGGGAAATAAGGTTAATTATGAATTGTTTGAGAATAATAAACTTTATAAGGTATATTTAAAAATTAAAAAAAGATGGAAATTTTCTTGTAGAGGATGTTAATATTTTGATGTTTATTTTCTGTTTCACCTTCCACAGTAGTTATTTCTTAGATATTAATAGCAGTATTGTTGCTTCCTTGCTTAAGTGTCTATAAAATTATGTGAGTAATTCTTTGTAATGAAATTAAGTTTCATTAAAAGCTCAAATGGTAAAATTTTATTAAAAACCTCTATGTATTTTGGTGTTAAAATAGTACACCTTCAACATTAGGACATTAATCCGACAGAGGTTACGTCATACTAAAAGCAATAAATATACAGTTAAAAATAAAATGACAAAATTAAAATATTTAAAAAAATATTGTTTTCCAAATATGTGACTTATGGTATAGCAGTAAGGTCATTAACTCTATAGTTTTTGATGGTGTAGAAACTCTCCCTGAAGGATCTGTAGTCACATAAAATAATGCTTTTTGTAAATAATATGCTATATTTATAAATGTATTGAGTTTGCAACAGTAAGTCATTGACTTTTTGGTCAAATTCAGCTTATCTTTGATATTGTTCATCTTGGTGGAAAAATATCGCCCAATTGGCCAAGTTCAATAATTTTAGAATATTATTTGTCCTTTCTAAAGCTTTAAGATGAGTCATCTTACTATAGTTTAAAATTATAGCTTGCTTCAAGTCTAAGGCTTTTAAACAGTGACTTTTATTATTTTATTTGGCGAAAGTGCTTTGAGAAACCATGTTTTGTTTAGGGCTGTTTTTTGAAGGCTCCGTCGTAATATAAATTTATGCTTTTTTGCAATAATGTGCTATTTTCATAACTACTGTGAGTTTGCAACTGTTACTCATGAGTGTTAAGTCAAGTTTAGCCTATTTAAAACCAGCGCAGTCTACGCTTATTTTGAAAATGGAGAAAAGCCACAGTTTTATGAAAATAAAAAGCGTTTGTAGTTTTTAATAAAATTTTACCATTTGTGATTTTAAACCTTGTTTTTTATGAAATTAAATATCTATTAACGACTTTTATTGGGCGCATTGTGTATATTTGACAAGGATTATAAAAACTAACGAAATTTTTGAGGTAAACCCCTGTAAGTTGAGATGCACCTTGCACGTGATACAGATTATTAGACCTGAAAAAGCAATATTTTTAATTGTGACATGACGAGGGAATTCTATATTAGGTAAAAGTTTGAAATATTACTCAATTTTCTTTGTGCATTGAATAAGTTGAGCCCACTTATATGTTATATTTTTATTTTCATTTGAAAATTTTTATAAAAAAATTTGTTTAAATTGGTTAAATGGTTGTGGCAAATATTTCGTCGTTCACTTTAATTGTTCCTGTTTGTAAAACAATGCAATTAACTCCTAAACACGGTCTGGGACCAACTTTTTTCTGAACTTCTGGATCTTTTGGTATCCTGTACCTAAAAAAATAAATAAGCGTTTATAATAATTTTGTGTGACGAATAATTAGAATATAGGCTTCTTAAATATGGCTTTACCGTGATACTCGTACGCAGATTGATAAACTATATAATACCTTCATGGTGGCCTTTTAAGACCGCAATAAAACTTGTTTTTCGAGTACTCTGTATTCACACGAAATAACCCTTTTTAGAAATTAATGTGCTATTTTTATAACTGTTGTCGTCCCGTAGTGGACTGATCTTAAAGACACGGTTCCTAGTTGAACACCTAAGTCAAGCATGATTGACTGCGGTCAGTAAGCGGGTAGATGACCACTTGGATTAGCTTGCGTAGGAACCGAGAGTGAGCGGTATCGGTCTTCGTTAAACTGTTTTACCGTAAAGTGTTCGACTTCTCTCGCAAGTCGTCGGGCTACTAAAACAAGGGAGCCATCCCCTCTACTGAGAATCAAAATTACGATGGCATGCCTTCCGATCATCCTCAGGGATGTTTCCCAGACCTTCGCCAATAGCCCATGGTGCAGCTCTGGTGCGACGTAAATAAAGTACAGTACAGTACAGTTATAATTGTTGTCAGTTTGTTACAGCTATTCATGACTGTTAAGATTTAATAATCTTTATCTAGCGCCCCTTAGATCTGTGACCTTGGCACCTATTAAGAAAATGACGCGAAATGTCAGTATACTATTGTGGCCATGAAGATTGAGCTCGCCACACGATGTGAGTGCGACGAATTGTGCTTGTGACAAATTGTCCTCGACACCCCTTGTCTTTTTTATTTCTTCAGATAGAAATGTGAGCTCTAATTCAGAGCACATTTCTTTCCGCACTAAAAGGAAGTTTTGTTATCGCAAATTCTTTCGCAGTTGAAAAAAAGAAAAAGCTTTTATAATCTTGCATAAAAAAAATTGTAAACACGAAATCACTCACTTCCGCAGTGTTACCAATGGCTCTTTTTGTGATAATATGCCAGTCTCTGGTTCAAACGTTGTTAAGGGACACCTAAGGAGTAAAACAATATTTTGAATCAAATAAATCAAAGGAAAAGTACGGTTAAATTGTGTAAAATAAATTTTGAGCATGTAAATATTTTCAACAAAATACACAGGCTGTCTCTAAAATGAAGCAAGCTACACATTTATAGGAAGTAGGGTTGAAAATAGCTAACCAACCTATGACGTGAAATGTCTGTTGAAGGTGGTTTCAGAGGTACAAGGTTTGAAAGGACACGAATAATAAGGAAATTTATATTGAACGTCATGCGTTCTGCAAATGTTGTACTAGGCAAGTACAATTCATAATGTTGCATCGGCTGTTCAACGGCGGTTATAATATAAAATAAAATAATTTTAATTGAGTCGTGATGGCTCAGGGGATAGAGCATTCGTTTTCCATCGAGGTGAACCGGGTTCGAATCCCAGCGAGGGCTAGTCGATACGAATTCCGCATACGGCTTGCACCGACGTAAAATACTCTCAGTGGTAGACGGATTATGGGTTAGAGTCCCCTTGTCATCTGGCTAACTGTGGGTGGTTTTCCTCTTCATGTAACGCAAATGCTGGTATGTACCATCAAAAAAGGCAAATTTCTCTCAATACTTGATCCAGCAGTCCCCTTATCTTCTGTATTGGGTTCAAAATTACAAGGCTACGAAGCTGAACATTAGTTGTTGTAAATCCGAAAAATATTGTGTCGGCTGTTCAACGACAGTTATAAAATAAAATAATTTTAATTGTATTTAAACATGCCTTCAAATTATAAAATAGAATTGCAACGGTATTGATGCTGCTCTAGATGACGTCTACTGTCCTATGGAAAGTCGTACAAACCCGTTCGAAATAAAATGGGTTTAATGTTCCTTGGGCTGCCAGGTACTATTTGATCCACGGCCCGATGGTTGGAGTAGTGGGATGCACAACAACTACCTAGCGGCTTATATTGGTACCACCGGTCATGGGTCTGCTATGCAATTTTTGATCGCTATGATGTGACCTAACTTCCTTACGTTTTTTGCTACTAAACGCAGAAAGAAAATTTGATTTGTGATCAAATTTGAAAGGCTATAATTTTGTTTGATTTATATAGGGTATGATTAAATCTTACCCAGACTTTGAAATTCGATCGATTTTTTTTAAAGAAAAATGTGGCGTATGTCGTATTTAAGGTGGGGTAACCGGCTTCATATCGAAAATCTAGCTTAAACAATTTAACCAGACAGACTATCTAGCTTGTGTCTGGTATATAAAAATATCTTAGCTTCCAGTACCTTTATTAACTTCAATAATAATAGTGAAGAAATAAGTAATACTTACCTGTGACATGGTATAACGTTCATTATTTCAGCCCCGTCACCTAATTTTATGAACTCCCACGAATCCTATAAATATTTTTTATTTATTAAATGTCAACCTTTTTATATTTAATCCAGATTTAAAAGTTTCATAATCTAGGAGAAACCTTGCCAAAAGAGTAATTAAAGTATGCTTATTGGCGATTAAAAATTAATATTTTGGCGAGGAAGTACAAAAAATCGTGTCGAAACTCAACAAATGACTAGATGCTATTTGCTTGCTGAAGGAAACAGGAAGTAGTTGAAAGACGATTATTCGAATAAACTTCATATTTTAACTGGCAACTAAACAAGTTTCGAGGTTTTTTTTATACCCACCTTCCTCAATAGTGATTTGTGAGATTTCGGAAATTTTTTTGTTTTTTTTTTCTCTCTCAGATATTAATTTTCGACTGTCTACTTTTTGACTTCAGATACCAATTTTAAACAGACGTCCAAATAAAAAAAAGAAGACCTAGTAGGCAGTGATGTTGAGTAGAAAGTATAAACATTACAACCGCTTCATGGCGGAGTAAGTCAGGTATGCAAATTTTCTCTAAGAATGACCAACTTTTATAAACGGAGGAGTGAAAGAATTCTGGATAAGACCCTTAATATCTATAAAAAATAATCCATAAATAATCTTAATATCTATTGGGACTACAAATAAGTTTCTGCCGTTTTCTATCAAAAATTAGCAAGTTATTGTGAAAAAACGGTACATTATCTTTTATTCAAAGTATTCTCCTTTACTAGACACTACTTTTTTTCCATCTTTCTGGGAGCATTCGGATACCACGTCGAATGAACTCTTCCTCTTTCCGGAATATCCACGAATCGACCCATTCCTTGGTTTCTTCAAATCGTGTAAATTTGTGCTCAGACAAACCACGTGCCATCAACCGGATATAATTTAAAGGGTCAAGTTCTGGCGAATACGGAGGGTGGGATAGGATTTCCCATTGAAGTGTTTCCAAATAGCAAAATCGACGTTCAATGTCTTTTGGCTTCAGTTCGTATGGAACCCAACTTCCTTGTTTTTAAGACATTCCCAACGATTTTGAACAATGTAAAATTGCTTGCTGAGTTACTTGTAATGTAAGAACAGGTTCTTTTTGCGTATGGGAGAATCTTCTTCCAATAATTCTTCCAATTCCTTGTCTTCGTACAATTTCGGCCTTCCACTGAGTTCTTTGGCTTCCAAGTCAAACTCACCGTTTTTCAATTTCTTAAACCACTCAAGACGACTTCTCTCACATAAAGCAGACTCACCATATGCTTCACCCAGCAACTGATGCACCTCAGCTACATATTTCTTCAAAGTAAAGAAGTAAATCAAAAGTTCCCTCAAATGACGCTTATTTGGCACAAAGCTTGACATTTTTGCACAAAAACAATTACGTATAACTGATACGGAATCACTAATACTTTAATGTCATGTTGTTACCAGATGAACAAACTTACAATAAGACGTTTAACACCAGTCAATTTCTACACAACGTTCTGGTTGTGCCATCTTGTGATGAACGGCGGGAACTTATTTGTACACCCAATATAATATTTATAGAAAAGTTGGATTTAATATTTTTTTCTAATGAAGAATCAGGAAAAATAATAATTTATCACTTTCTTGGGATAACGGAGTTAATTTTACCTCATATGATATTTATATTGCACCATGTAATAATATGCAGTGGGACTTCTATTTAACGAACTTCCAATTTGCGATTTTTTTCGTGCGACCGAGAACATTTTTGAAATTTCCTCGTAAAATAACTTCCAAATAGCGAAGTGAATTTTCGATTTAACGAACTTTTCTTTGAGACCAACTTTCCCTATTTCCCAAAATATTTCAGAACATTTCAAACTTGTTAACGCATTTTACTACATAAATGACCTTGAATTGATTTTCGAAGCCACTTAAAAAAGCCACGAAAGCAGTCAAATCCCTTTTTGTTTGCATTTCATACGAAAAACTCATACAAAATTAACGGATTTTTATCGGTAGCTTAGGAACGCATGTGGTAATGTATGTTTAAAATGATTTTTAAAATAGATACAGCTATAATTTTATACGTTACTTTTTTTAGTTGAAAACGTATGTATGTAGCATGATAGTGTCACACTGGATGATGTTTTGTTCTATTCTTGCTTTCCATGCAGATTTCTTTCATGGTTAAGATTTATAAAATTAATATTAGATACTAGTTTATAAGATAAAGGTGTATCAATTGCGATTTTAATTATGTCTAGTGTTTATGAATTTAAACCCTGTTTTGTGTTGTTTGCATTTCAAAAGGTGATTTTCTAGTTAACGAATTTTCCATACAACGAACTTATTATCGAGATTCAGATACTTCGTTAAGTAGAGGTCCGACTGTAGTATTGCATACAATACATTTTTATATAGAGTAATATATATTACTTCATCATATGGATGGCATCCATCCACCAGAACATTTGGTCGAAAATTGATGGCAGAAACGTGATTGTCTTTCAGTTTCGTATTCAGATCATCAATCGAAGGTTGGGACATGATGTGGAAAGGTGCCCAATTCTGCAGTGACATCTGCAAGAGAAAAATTCCAATTTTTGTCTCATCTCTTCCCAAACAGCAGAAGTATTAATTTAAAGAATTATTTTCTAATTTTCAAATTCTCATACAGATAATAGTTGTGTTTTCACCTGGGGTTAATATTTAAATAAATAGCTGGGCTTACGGAATTTTTCGGTCTCAATTTTTCGTAAAATGTAAATTTTTCAAAGAACTGTCTCCCTGGAAATTCCGGATAGAATCGCACTAACCGTACGTTCGGCATATTTAGACAATTCTGAAACCATTTGGCAGCTTTTTCTCCGCAATCCACTACGTAAGCAGTTTCTACTCGCAACCTAAAAAAAGAAAGGCTAATTAATAAGTTAATAAATTAGTTAATTAGTTTAAACGTTACCTGTCAGTGCAATTTATAAAAGAGTAAACTTAATAAATGGTATAAGCTATCAACACTTAATTTTTACAAATGTGAACTTAGTGAATGCTAATTCTTATATTATACTATCTATAAAAAGTAATTTTAAAAATATGTAACGTTAGCTGCCTCAGTACGTTATTTTTGAAAAAGTGAATTTAATAAATATGTTGTCTCAGCATTCAATGTATGTTTTTGAAAGGTTACTTAATATGTTAACCAATTTACAAACTTACCGACATTCAATAATTTTATCGTTTGGATCCGGAGCTTTTTGTACTTTAATTGTTAAAGGATCAACCTCCGGACCAGATATGACTAGATTTGTACCATCGAACTTTGGAGTAAGCAATGCAAGTTTTGGTGCTTTTTCTAGTGTTACGTAAGCACCGTCCTCAGATGTTAACATAAATGAACTGAAAATAAATGTAAGGAAATAGTATGAGTGTGTATATATATATATATATATATAGTAATAATTTTATGTGTTTAAATAAAGTTTTATATATTTTGCATCTTACCGTTCTAAAAGGCCATTTACTTCAAGTCCTAATTTTGTGCATTTTCCTTCCTCAACTTCAATGCCTCTAATGGATTTCATTGGAAAGAACAATATTTTTTTCACATGTCCCACTCTTTGGTACACTCGTTGTTTCTTTTTCCATATCAAAGCTCCCATAGCTGCGATGGCAAGCACGGGAACAACAAACCAGCCATTCCAACCAGCCATCTATCTATTCACCTTTTAAGAGAAACAACAAACTACTAACAACTTTAAAATAACTCAGAAGCTTTTCGACCGATTTCGTTCAAAATTTGTATTTCGCTATTTATAATTTCTTTTTTTAAAACGATGTAAAAATTTGTATTTTTTACATTTTAATTTTTTTTTCTCGACTATTATAAAATAAAATAATCGAAAAATAATAAATTATTATCTTAAATTATTATTTTTTAACGAATTACCCTTGAATAAACTAAGTGCGTGTACTAACCTTTCTTTTCACTTAAAAAAAAATATCTCGAGATACAGAGAAATACGAAAAGAAGTAAAATTAACAATAAGAGATTCAAATTTACCTGCCCCCTCCATGAGCCGAACTGACTCAGGGGATAGAGCGTTCGATTTCCAATGAGGTGAACCGGGTTCGAATCTCACGATGGCTGGTCGATACAAAACCGCATCCGGCTTGCGCCTACCATAGTGCTGACATGAAATATCCTCTGTGGTGGACGGATCATGGGTTAAAGTCCCTTTGCCGTCAGGCTAACCGTGGGAGATTCTCGTGGTCTTCCTCTTCAGGTAACGCAAATGCGGGCTAGTTCCATCAAAAAGTCCTCCACGAAGATCAAATTTCTCCCAATACTTGAGTCCAAAAAAGATAGGTTTATATAGAGTAAGTAAGTTTTATTTGTCTGATTTCGTCTGCATCAATTAATTATTACATTTTTTAAGGCTAGTCCCGCGAAATATTAAGATTGTCCTAGTATGTGACTATTCGATCATTACATCAAAAGTTAATCATGGTACCTCCTTTTTTTCGTGCATTGTTTATCGAACTGTTAAAGTAAAGTTGAGAAAAACGAATCATAAATATGAATCTATTCAGTTTACTAAAGTGATTGTAATCAGTGTTTCGAATCTCTGCTTTAAATTAGTTGTTTTGAGATAGATACATATAAATTAGAGAAATATGCTATAAAAACTAACTGCCGTTTACAAAAATATTGGTTATCTTTAAAACTTTCGTTTTATGTTCATTTTTTGAAAATTAGGGAAATAAAAATAAGGAAATGGGATCTCTCTTCTGAGTCCCCCCCCCCTCACTTTTTGCAAAGTGCGTTTGTAATTTATGTTATCTGTTCTCAACTTCGGCAAAAGCCTGTAAGCCGTATGATCACAAGTCTGCAAAATTATGCATCCGTTTTGTTATTCTATATTGACCTTATGTATAAATCAGTAGGCTTGTGCATTTAGATAGGGCTTCACAATATTTCCTCAAATTTAAGAAAAGATAGCATAAATGAGCTCCTTCTTCCTTTGTAACGCCCAATTGTAGTCTGTGCTATCTGTTCTCCAATATGAGACAGGCGTATGAGCCGTTTCCAAGCTTAGAAACCAGCAAATTTATGTATTCTTTTTGTTTAATTATTTTTTTCCTTTTAAGCCTAAATTAAGTGCTTATTGAGTGGGCTTATTACCTTTCATTAAATCGAAGAAAATATAGAACGAATCAGCAACTCTTTGTTGTGACGTTTTGTTTGTACTTAGTGCTACCTGTTCTCCAATTGCGAAGAGCTTATAAGCCGTTCGCTTAAAAACGTTGAATATATTTCACAATTCTAACTAGCTAATCATTAAAACACACCGTCCCGCAGTGGACTGATCGTTAAGACACGGCTCCCAGCAGATCACCGAAGTCAAGCATCACTGGCTACGGTCAGTGTGCGGGTGGGTGACCACTTGGATCAGTCTGCGTAGGGACCGACGGTGTGCGGTATTGGTCCTCGTTAAACTGTGCTACCGTAAAGTGCTCGACTTCGCGCGCAGGTCGTCGGGCTACCGAAGCGGGGGTGCCATCCCCTCCGCAGAGGATCAAAATTGTGATGGCATGTCTTCGGATCATCCTCAAGGATGTTTCCCAGACCGTCGCCAATAGCCCATTGTGCAGCTCTAGTGTGATGTAAATTAACTACAACGACAACAAAATACACCAAGTGCTACCGTGGTGCCTCCCTGGCCGAGCGGTATTGCTTTCCAAACGTTGTGCGACATTTGGAGCTAGCGAATTCGAATCCCGCTCTTTCCCTGGATGTGTTTTCGTGCCGTCCATCTGTATTGTGCTATCTGTTCTGCTTGATAAAGGCTTATAAGCCTTAATTGCGCACACAAGCCTTCAAATGTTTGTTGTATCGATAAACAATGAAACACCGTGGGAATTGAACCTTCTACTTTCACAGTTCTGAGAGCCTGGTGGGAGCACAATAGTCTTAAATAAAATGTTCAATTTAATACCTTCTTTTGTTACTCCTCCAACTTTAACAACGTTTAAGAACGAATTTTTTTTAATATGTATTCGCATTAGTAGCAAGTTGAGTTCCTTGTTGGACTCGGTGGAAGCATGTTGAATTTCAAGAAGAGCCTCAGAGCTCAAATAAATCTTTATAGGCTAAATTAAGCTTTACCTATTGAAACGCAGTGTTATAAGCGAAAGCAGAGAGCACGCCGCACTTTACTATACTCAATACTCAATAGTAGCAAGTTTGGATATTGTTATTGTCTGATGAAGGCAGTCATCTTCCTTATTGAGCGTTAACTAGGTAACTAAATTACAATCTATACATTTATTTTGTATTACTTTCCAAAAAAGTTTATTTATTTCTTATCATATTTGAATATGGTCCGGCAAGGATCGTAAGACTCGGTTCCTGGTAGATCAGCGAAGTTAAGTAGGCAGCACTAGCTGCGGTCAGTTAGTGGTTAGATGAACCCTTTGATCAGTCTGCGATGGGATGGAGGGTGTGTGGTATCGGTCCTTATTAAGCTGTTCTACTTCTAGAGCTGGTAATCGGGCTACCAAAGCGAGGACTCCATCCCCCACGCAAAGGATCAAAATTATGATGACCCGTCTTCGGAATATTAATCCCCAGTATCTTCTCACAGCATCACCGATAGTCCAGCTATAGTGTGACATTAAGTATTGCTATTTACTAAGAATATAAAAATTTTTGTCGACTCACAAAAATAGACATGTATTTACAATACACAAAAAGATTAAATTTCAGTTTCTATAAAATCTTATTTTAACTCTAATGATAATTTTAAATTAGTTTCTGAAGATTAGTCTGCATTCACGGCGGACTCAGTAAAGGGTTGTAATTGTAATAAGTAGAAAGATTAAATTAATTATTACCCCTTATTTCAAAAGTAAAATGATATGAAATCTAAATTAGCTGACTGATCTTTCTGAATTTTGTGATTTGATATTTCCTACCGAAGCACACGAATCCCCATTTTTTTATTTGTTCTTGTCCTCTATAAATAATTTTTTTATTGGTGTTCCATTTGCACTATGATTGTTTAGTTACAGTAGTAAATCGAATAACCCCTTCCATATTATCTATAATTTTAGTATTATCTGTTTGTTGTGTTTTTTTTATTTATGTATTAATTTTACCTAACATAGTTCACAGTAAAAAAATGTTGCTCTTTAAATCAATACAATATGTACGGTGCGCAAAATGGAAAACGGACCACACTGAATAACTTTTGATCTAATGATCGGATCTCCGCGTTCTAGGACTGAAAAACGTACTTTTTCTGAATAAATATAAATTTTTTCGACGGATTCGGATTTCTGACTCCCAAAATATAGGGAGTGGCCACAATCTGGGAAATATGGTCTCAATAGTTTAGTCAGAAGAGCAATCCAAAGTTTGGAACACAATAATGTTAATTTTTACTTTTTGCGTATGTGTCTATAGCTCGAGAACTTTTTAAGCGAATTGAAAAATTCTTGCAAACAATTATAAAAAAATTCATTAGTCAAAAGTTAATTCCNTTTGGAACACATAATGTTAATTTTTACTTTTTGCGTATGTGTCTATAGCTCGAGAACTTTTTAAGCGAATTGAAAAATTCTTGCAAACAATTATAAAAAAATTCATTAGTCAAAAGTTAATTCCATACAAAAAATCATTTAGTATTAATTCCTTTTATTATTTTATTTAAGTTATTACTCAAGTTATTCAATTTTTTACATCATTTTAAGGAATATAATTTTGCATGGCAAATACAAAATTTGAGTAATATCGGTCAAATATTTTCTAAGAAATCGAGTTTCAAAAAAGTTGTATTTTCAAAAATCGGATTTCTCTGGAATTATTTGACCGATTTCAGGAGATGCCAACTTGCTCCGGACAGCAAATATATATTTTAAAGTGGTAGTTCATCAATTGTGATTCTTGGTTTAATAATTTCAATTTAGTAGATTTTTATCCACCACTGTTTCTAAATAATTCGTAGGCTTATTTGATTCACCACTTTATAGAACTTTTGTTATGTTAAAAAGCCTTGTTAAAAAACCATGTACCTTTTAAGAAGCTAGCAAAAATCGTCAAATATTTGCAAAATTTACTTTGCAGTTATTTGCCGTTTTTTTAATTATTTTGGCTTGTCCGGAGCAGTTGGCATCTCTGTATTTCGCTCAAATTTTGTATTTTGCCATGTAAAGTTATATCACTAAAAATGATGTAAAAAATTGCATAACTTACTATTCAAAAATTTTCGACGAATATTAAATAATATAATAAAAAATAATAAATATTTATTAAACGTTATTTTTTGCATGGAATTAAGTTTGGATAAATGAATTTTACATTTGTATGGAAAATCTTTTCAATTCGCTTAAAAAAATTTCGAGATATGGTGAAATACGCAAAAAGTAAAGTTAACATTACGGTGTTCAAGCTTTGGAACGCTCTCCTGACCAAACTATGGGGACCATATATCCCAGAATCCGGCTACCCCTATATTTTGGGGGTCATAAATTCAAATCCGTCAAAAAAGGTATGTTTATTCAGAAAAAGTACGTTTTTGTGTTCGATTTCGTAACTTAAAATATCGTCTGCACTAATTAATTATCATATTTGAGATCAACAACTCCTCAAACCATTAAGAATGAGTCCTAGAACGTGAAGATCCGATCATTAAATAAAAAGTTATTAAAAGTGGTCCGGTTTTTTTATTCTGCGCACTGTACAACTATCAAATATTTCAATCATCACCCTATTAATGACAGGGCAATTTTTAGCATTACCCTGCCAATCCTTTTAAACCATTTTTAATAAAAGGTTTAGGCAATCTATCTTCATTCTAAATAAGAATAGTTTCACAGTAATTTTTTAATCCCTATGAAAACACATTACGGTTATTACACAAACAAGGGAACATTCTGCGTTGCGTAAGGAACAAAAATTGGGAATCCACTTTTTAAGTAATCTTTGGGGGGAAATCTGATATCCACGAGGGAAATTATTTATTAAACTGCCTTATATGATTAATCTATGACTAGTAATGGAGAAGAATTAAATAAAAAATTTCAGAACACGATCCTTATATTTGAAAACGGATTTGATTCCCTGTTAATGCCACTTTAAAACTTATTTAATAATTTAAAAATCTTTCTTTGTTTACTCATGTTTAACAAGAGGAAACAACTGTTAAGAAAACTTATCATTTGACTCCCAGTTTCTTCCAGTGATAAGATAATTGAAATCTTATCTTCAGAGGACAAAAAGTATTGATTTTTCTCAATCAGTCAAAACAAACATCTAAGATGATTATTTTATTTTATAACCATAATTGAACTGCCTACCCAGTTTTGAGTTTACGACTACCAATGTTCAGTTGAATGTAGCCTTGTAAAATCTGAAAGATAACAGTACTCCTGGACAAGTATTGGGAGAAATTTTCCTTCGTGGAGGAGTTTTTAATGCTATTTAACCATATTTGCGTTACATAGAGAGGAAAAGCACGAAATCCTCCCACAATTAGCCTGACGGCGAGGGGACTCTAACTCATGATCCATCTATCACTGAGGATATGACGTCAGCACTGTGGTCGGTGTGAGCCGGATGCGGGATTCGTATTGACCAGCCATCGCTGGGATTCGAACCCGTTCACTTCATTGGAATTCAAGCGCTCTTTCCTCTGAGCCACCACGACTCAACGATGATTATTTTTATAACCGTCGTTGAATAACCTACCCAATTTTGAGTTTATGGCTACCAATGTTCAATTCTGTAGCCTTGTAATTTTGAACCCTATCCAGAAGACAAGGGATATCCTGGATCAGTAACCCACAGGTATTGATTTGTTATGGGAACTTGGAGGATTTTGTGACCCTAACAGATTTAATGTGCATCAGTCACCATTTAACTCGCGGGTATTCTTCGGCCGGCTGTATTCGGACTCCCGTTCTTACGAACACGAATCCAACGCCCAACCATCCCAGCTATTCCGGTCCTCTACCATGATTATCGTCGATGTTCTGAACACAATAACTCATTTATATTATCTTACAAATGTTGGGATCAACTATGATGTTTAACCCGCGGTTCGCAGCAGCTTACCAACCCCTATGATTGCTTTTCAATAATTCTTGTTTCCTGCTTCAAAATATTATTTTCTACGAAAGTTAAAACTAATTAAATTAATTGAATTTGTTTTTTGATGTTCCCACGTCGCAATCATTTCCCTAATTCTATTAAGATCAATTAGTGAGCATAGATAATTTTGCTTGGTAATCATTTTTCAAAATAACATTTAAGATTGAGGGTGTATTAATATAAAAAATTTGACTTCACAACAGTAGTTTAATATTTTTTTCTTACAAAACCGACTGATAAATTAAATTTAATTTACCCATGCATCATATTGTCCTCATTAAGCTTTTAATATGATAACTAAAACTTTTACTAAAACTTTTAAGTTCCTTTCGTTATCTCAAATTTATAATAGTATATTAATGTAAAAATGTATATATCAATGCATATAATAGTATATTAATTAAATTTATAAAAGTATATTAATGCATCAAAAAAATAATTGTAAAGCGATTTATAATTTTAGACGCTGATTTAAATAAATTTATCTTAAAATCTAATGTACTAAGATAATATTAAATTACTTTATAATAAAGAAATAATTTTATTAGTTTTAAATTTTTGATTTAGAATACTATCAAAATCAATTAGAGAGAATATAATAATTTTAGCTAATAACAAGAAAAATAATATGCTATTGCTCGAAAAAGGCAAGTTCCGTCACCAATAATTGGTATAACAATGTGACAGCATATGTTTAAAATTTCAGAAGTATAAATGACTATAAGTGCCCCGCCGAATGCCGAAGTGCAAATTTATGACACACCATCTTCAAATCTCTTATTATTATGTATCACATAATATATTTTCGTCAACAGTTTTTTTTTAAAATTCTTCTAAATACTTATTCCCACTCAATGGTAGCGTAATTTAATTCAATGGCAGCATAATTAAACGCTCACACCTAAACAACTGGAAAATGTAGTTTATATATATTGTCTTCAGCCTAATTTTGTTTTCTATATCCATGATTAAATTGAGAAAAAAAATTTACGAATATTTGATTTTTATAAATTATTATAATTATTCGCATTTAAANGGCAAGCTCCGTCACCCATAATTGGTATAACAATATGTGACAGAATATGTTTAAAATTTCAAAAGTGCCCCACCGAATGCCGAACATAAGTGCAAATTTATGACGCACCATCTTCAAGTCAATAATTTGGAAGGATGGCTGTTGATGTTGTGATATTTGTTTAAGTAGACCTGAAAAAACTTGAGTTTTGTTTTGACTTCATATTTAACTATTCGGTTTTATATTGTAAATATTTACGTTCTTGAGTTATAATTGATCGTCCAGTTTATATAGCAATATGATCTACAGCTTTTGTTGTAACACATCTTCGTTTAAAGGCGTTTGGCTGTTGTTTGCTGCTGATAAGTTGCAACACTTTATGTTATTTTCATCTTTTTTATTATTATGTATCACATATTATATTTTCGTCGACAGCTTTTTTTTTATTTTTAAATTCGACTAATTACACTCTAAATACTTATTCCCACTCGATGGTAGCGTAATTTAATTCGATGGTAGTATAATTAAACTCTCACACCTAAGCAACTGGAAAAAGTAGTTTATATATATTGTCTTCAGCCTAATTTTGTTTTCTATATCCATGATTAAATTGAGAAAAAAAATTACGAATATTTGATTTTTATAAATTATTATAATTATTCGTATTTCAAAATATTTAAATTTTACTTACTATTTTTGCACTTTATACGAGATATTTATTTTTGAAAAGGGTAAAACTATGATTTGATAATGAATACGATACTTACTTTTCACGAAAAAACAAACAACTCCTACTCGATGGTAGTATAATTAAATATTCTAAACAACTGGAAAATGTGGTTTATCAATATATTGTCCCCACTCAAACCTTTTTTTACTGAATTTATGATTAAGTTAAGAAAAAGAAATTATAAATATTGGATTTTTTATAAATTATTACAATTACTCGTATTTCAAAATATTTAAATTTTACCTACTCTTTTTGCACAAGACATTTATTTTTGAAAAGGATAAAATTATGATTTGATAATAAATAAGATACTTACTTTTCACCGAAAATCAAACAATTCCCACTCGATGGTAGTAGTAGTATTATAGATAGAAATGCAGTAAATAATGAAGAGATAATCTCAAGTATTAAATGTTTATCAGGCATTAAATGTTGTGAAACAATTCAAAAAAAAAGTAATTGTGCAACAAAAAATCTACATAGTGCCATCTACTGGATAGGAAGATATGAATTAATCATTTATTAGGGCAAAGTGAATTTTCCGGAGTGAAATTCAAAATTTTCTGTAATTATTACTTCTTATGTATTATTACTTTTATGTAAGTGCACTAATACTGGTGAGGGTATTATTACTGTTGCGTACTAAGGAGCGTAGAGAAAAAGTAGGGAATTTTGGTACAGGGCAGTTTAAGCATGTCTTTTACAATCCGTGTATGCGCTACCGTGAATGACCGAAATCAAGCGAATGTTGACTTTCACCGCTGAATGTCAACAATCACTTTGGAGAATGTCCGAAATATTTATTATATCTGATTTGATATTAATTTATTCGTTGATACTATTATGCTTACTCCATATTTTAATATCTGCTGAAGATAAATTAGGAGAAACATCAATGTTCGGAGAACCGGTTGAATGCATACTGTGCAGTGATACTGAGAAAACAGTGATGTAGGGAATACCGGGCAAATGTATACCGGGCAGTGGCACTAAACCTTAAAAAACATTACTGTACGGAATATCGGGCAAATATAAACCTTGCAGTTTCACTTGACTAGACCTATAGTATATATTTCGTACCAGAGCGACTATGTGAATGTCAACATTCATCGGTGGTTGTCAACAACCACCAATTTCGGTCATTCACATTCATATGCAATGCATGCCTGCTGTTTGAACTAATGTAAACACTAAATCATTTAAACTACATGGTATAATAATATTTTATAATTTATAAAATTCATTAAGGTATAATTATTATTATTAAGGTATTAAGGTATAAATTTTTTTTTAATATTTTAGTGGTTACTTTCGATGTCTACTTAGAGGTGATAACGGGTTGCAAAATGTTAATAGTGACCACTTTTCAAAAAACATAGCATTTTTTTTTTCAAAAATAGAACATCATTAACGATTAAAAAACTAGTTTATCTTAATGATGTAAGACATTTATTTTTCAAAATATACTAAACATTACAATTTTTATTTTTTAAAGGAAGACAAATTTAAAAAAAAGGAAATGTGAAGTAGAGTAAATTTCACATATTATAATTTTAAAAAAAACGCGCTAGGGTTACATTTGTGACCCATGGCCAGTGGTGACATAATTTCTTTTTTAATCAAAATTTGCAAAAACATCGTCATTTACTTTAATAGTTCCTTCTTTTAGTGCGAAACATAAAACACCTAAACAAGCTCTTGGGCCCAATTTCTTCCGCATTTCCTTGTCTGCGGGTATTCTGTACCTAAAAAAATATATATAAATATACATTTTTAGTTTGTTACTTCGAGCAATAAAATGAAATAAAGCTTTAATCGAGAAAATTATGAATAATATTTTTTGTCTTAGGAATTAAATTTAATAATGGGTGTGTTTACATTAATTACACATGAAAGTAGTTATTAGTAATTATTTTTTTAAAAAAAATAATAGGTTAGTGATTGTGATGTTGGGTTGCTAGATTTCAGTTTTCTAGGCCTGATTTGCAGATTTCTGAACCTTGGGCACAAAGCTATTTGGGGATTCTCTAAAAGAATCTACAAGTTTCAGTTTAGGTGCAGAGTCTTTAATCAGAACATCAAATGATAATTTTTAGACAACAGCAAATTGTAAACAACCTGGAGCTTTATTTAGTAAAACATCATTTAGAAATTCAAAATTAAATTTAGCTAAGTGATGAAAAATTTACTACCTAAAATTTAACTGATGGATTAAAAACTGCTGCTGAGAATCACAAAAATTATAAAGAAAACAAGATTTTTCTTATGTAATTTGGAGTAGGGGTCCCTCATAAGTTGGAGGGGGGGGGGGCACGTGCCCCGGCGAGTCTTGTAAATCAGTCCCTGCTTGTTGTGGTTGAGTGTTTCGTTGAGTTTTTTTCCCCAGTCTTTTCAATGTTTTGTTCATTTGTTTCCAGTACGTAAAGTAAATGAATCATCATCGATGTTGAAATTTCTAAATTAAATAAATAATTGCACACTTGTTGAGGAAACATAACAAAATGAACTTCTAAAAACAAAGAAGAAAAAAAAGTTGATATTGGCAATAGTTTACAAAAGTCAACATTTATTTACTCATTTATTTTTTAAATTGGGCAAATTAGACATCTGGTGCAATTTCCGATGCAATATTTGACGCTGAATCAAATGAAGTCACACCCAAATCGATGAATTTAATAGTTAAAAAACTAATATAAGCCTTGATATTGAACGAAATCAAAGCAAATATTTAAATTTAAGGTAAGTTGACATGGATTTGCCATAAAATGAAAAAGTCACGCTATATCTATTCAAAGATAATCGAAACACTGTGAAAATCACATTATTAACAATTTAGATATTATTAAATTTGGCTTCCATGGGTACAATACACTGATAAACACAATACGACTGTCGTATTAAAATATTATTCTCCCATATATTAATTTAATTCATTTTCATCAAAAAGATTTCTATATTTAACGCGCCTCTACATTAAATTTGAATAAGACCCCATACCAATTTCTTTTTACATTTTATTTGTTTATTTAATCAAGTATCAGTAACGCATCACCATTTAGCATGCCAATTTTCGAGGCTTACTTCAAGCAGCCCTCAAGCATTTTTTTTCACGCTTCGACTTCATTATTATCTCTTATGATACTTTTTCAATTGAACCCGTTCAAAAAATGAAATATTTGTTAATATTTTTATAAATTTGTTTTGGAATAAAATGAGATATTATTTCTAAATTGTATAGAGGTAACTGCGTAGTCACGGCGTTTGTGTCACATCACGAACCTAATACGAAAAGCACTAATAAATTATTTGCACTTATTAAACTAAACAGAAATCGTCTCATTACAAAACTCAATGAGCGCCATTTTAATTTTATGTTATATTTAAGATATAATTTCTCTTACAGGAATTACAGTTCATTTTTTTATGGGAAGTTAAAAAATAAGTTTCGTAACAAAAATAATTCTCACTTCTATAACGAAATTTACTCCCTTCTTATGACAAAATCGAATTCACTTCAATTTGATTCTGTAACAGAATCTTATTGTCTTAAAAGATATTTTCATTTAAAATACAAATCCGGATGAAAATTATTGATGTTTTGATCATGCATTAATTAAGGTGTATTTTTGTATATATATAGTATTTCATAAATGATAAGATTTAAAAGACGACCAGTTTACATACTTTCGTAACGTCTTTAGAGGTTCTTTCTGAGTTACATGTCCTATGTCTGGATCATAAGTCGTCAGAAGACATCTAGAATAAATGCATGGATCAAAATGCATTACTAGAAAAAAAGCTTTCTTCGTAATCCTGAAATACTTTCCAAAGATGATTTCACCAATTTTAGTTTTATATTCATATATTTGCTCTCTATTATATCTATTGTTTTACTGAATTTTTTTCTGTTTTATTTCTATATTTGCCTGTATTATATCCATTGTTTTATTAAAATTTTCACGTTTTGTTCCTATATTTGTCTCTATTTCCATTGTTTTATTTAAAAAATTTGTTTTGTTCTGATAAAAAAAAAACACAGAAACAAACTTTTTATGGTGCTTTTTTCCATTCTTTTTTTAATGCATAAATGATATTTAAAGTCATGAGCTCCCATATGTGTATGTACTAGGATAGTCGAATAATTTGGCTTTATTCAATGCACTAGGCTACTTGCTCAGTCATAACTATTTTCTTCACTGTCTAACATTTTTAGGCTTATTATCTTAAAATTCCCTGCATGCAATTTTCAAATGTATGTTTATATTACCTTGTATGCCTTATGGTTAATTAGGAAATATGCAAGGAATTACCCGGATTGAATATGTTTAGTCTTAGTTCTATAGACCTTTAATAAGGCTATTTACAATAAATCTTCCCTACCCTATGCATATTGCAAATAGCCATAAATAAATATGGTCAAATGAGCTTTGAATAATTAATTTTTCTGATTAGTCTAAAGTCTCACTGCTCTAACCAAAAGAGGATGGATTGTATTTTGTGCTGCATACGTAGAAAGCAAAAAAAAAAATAATAATAATAATAATAAATAAATAAATAAAATAAAAAATAAAGGAAGAGAAAAGGATATGTTATTAATTTCGGTTCTAAAAACTAGAGCCCTCATTTGTGTCAAAACACAAAAAAAGCAGAAGATACTTTTTTTAGTTTCACTCTGAGGAATGATTCAGTACATTTTATAGAACCGAAACCAATGGTAGTCTACTTTTGTTCCCCTATTTGTGCTCCTACTTATTGAAGTAAGTAAAGTAAAATAATATAAGTCTCAAAACAACCTTCAGAACCAACACTACATTACAGAATCAACAATAGATTATAGAATCAACAATACATTACAGAATCAAAATTACATCGCAGAACCAACATTACATTAAAGTACCAACAATACATTATAGAACCAATATTACATTAAAGGACCAATATTACAGAACCAACATTACATAACAGAACCCACATTACATTGCAGAACCAACAATACATTATAGAACCAATATTACATTATAGAATCAACAATACATTACAGAACCAACATTACATCACAAAACCAACATTACATTAAAGGACCAATATTAGATTAAAGAACCAGTATTACATAACAGAGCCAACATTACGCTACAGAAGCAAAATTACATTACAGAACCAACATTACATTACAGAACCAACATTACATTACAGAACCAACATTACATTACAGAACCAACCATTATAGTATCAATATTACATTATAGAATCAACAAGACATAGATTTAATACATTACAGAACCAACCATTATAGTATCAATATTACATTATAGAATCAACAAGACATAGATTTAATACATTACAGAACCAAAATTACATCACAGAACTAACATTACATTAAAGAACCAATATTACATTAAAAAACCAACATTACATTAAAGAACCAATGTTACATTACAGAACCAGCATTACATTNCATTTTATAGAACCGAAACCAATGGTAGTCTACTTTTGTTCCCCTATTTGTGCTCCTACTTATATTATTTTCATTTACTTACTGCAATAAGTCTCAAAGCAACCTTCAGAACCAACACTACATTACAGAATCAACAATAGATTATAGAATCAACAATACATTACAGAACCAAAATTACACCACAGAACCAACATTACATTAAAGTACCAACAATACATTATAGAATCAATATTACATTAAAGAACCAATATTACATTACAGAACCAACATTATATTACGGAACCCACATTACATTGCTGAAAAAAACAATACATTATAGAACCAATATTACATTATAGAATCAACACTACATTACAGAACCAAAATTACATCACAAAACCAACATTACATTAAAGGACCAATATTAGATTAGAGAACCAATATTACATTAAAGAATCAATATTACATTACAGAACCAACAATACATTATAGAACCAATATTACATTATAGAATCATCAATACAATTACAAAACCAAAATTACATCACAAAACTAACATCACATTAAGGAACCAACATTACATTAAAGAACCAATATTACATTACAGAGCCAACATTACGCTACAGAACCAAAATTACATCACAGAACCAACATTACATTACAGAACCAACCATTATAGTATCAATATTACATTATAGAATCAACAATATATAGATTTAATACATTACAGAACAAAATTACATCACAGAACTAACATTAAAGAACCAATATTACATTAAAAAACCAACATTACATTAAAGAACCAATGTTACATTACAGAACCAGCATTACATTGCAGAATCAACAATACATTATAGAAACAATATTACCTTATAGAATCAGTGTTACAATATAGAATCAAGGAAACAATACAGAACCAAAATTGCATCATAAAACGAAGATTACATTAAAGAACCAATATTACATTAAAGAACCAATATTACATTACAGAAAGAACAATACATTACAAAACCAACATTAACATAAGTTTCAGGCTTGTTCGAAAATATTTTTATCACTTTTGTGTTTTTGAAAGATCTACCAATGTTGTGATTTTCCCAGCATTTTTTAACATTGTGCATCTTGTTTTGAGTTGTAGTCATTTATTATAGTAATAGTTTATAATTTCTATATTTTTTCCTTTTAATCTTTGTTTTCATGCAATATTTACGAATATTTTGATCGTATTTTTTTTTTCTTTAGCACATTTCATTTTATTAAAAACTTTAGTTGTTTATTACTACAGTAGTTATAATTTCCGTATTATTTCCTTTTTTTTAATCTATGTTTACATTGAATGTCAGCGAATGTTTTTGTTTTCCCCATCTATTTTAGAGTTCTGAATATTATATAAAGGCTACGATTGTTTATTACTAGAGGTTTATTTTGACGCATTATTTTTTTAATGACTATCCTTGAACATCCAAATCAATTTTTAGTTTATAATTACCAATGTTCAGCTCCGTAGTCTTGTAGTTTTGAACCCAATCCAGAAGACAAGGGAATTCCTAGATCAAATATTAGGAGAAGTCTGCCTTCGTGGAGGACTTAATCATGTAACTAACACGCATTTGCATTACATGGGGAGGAAAACCACGAAAACCTTTCACGCTTAGCCAGACTGCAAAGGGGCTCCAACCCGAGATCCATCTATCACTGTGGATATTTCACGTCAGCATTGTGGTCGGTACGAGCCGGATGCGGAATTCATATCAACCAGTGATAGCTGGGATTCAAACATAAGGCGCTCTATCCCCATAGCCACCACAACCAAATATAAATGTTTTACAAACATTTATATTACTGTAAGGCTATACGTCCCCTATTTGCTATGCTCATTTGCTAGCTTTTTATTCATCATTGTTTTTTTTTTTCCTTTCTTAAAAGTCGGTAAAAATAAAATTATTTTGTTTTCAAACTATATAATAATAATAATTTTATGTAAGCCTATTTCATTGATATGTATGTTGTTATTAATATAATATGCTATGTATGCGTAATGTATTTCATTACTATGTAACGAAATGAAAGGATAGCTGGATTTGAAAAATATTCAACTATACTACGGAGCGCACGCGTGGCCCAACAAGTTTAACAGTTTCTCGCACTAATTATAGAATGTTAATTTTTTTCATAGAAATTCATGTATGCTTTTCTACACGGCATGGCAATTTCAAGTTAACTCTTAGAGCAATCGTGCAGGAAAGCAAGTTGTAACGCTAAGCTAAGCAAGCGCCTTAAGATTTTTTAATTTAGAGGGATACATACCTTGTTGAAGGTGTAGCATTCAGTATTTCCACTTCATTACCGAATTTTATACATTTCCATGAATCCTGTAAAAATGATTAATTCATGCTAAACCAATTTCAATATTATGTACAATATTGACTAAAAATTATACTAAGTATTTAACATTTTTTTTTTCTTTCTGTTATTTAGTATACTGTATTCTAGAATATAAATTAAAAGATTTATTCTTATTTTAAAAAGTTTTAAAAGAAATATGAATAACCATTTATTTAAACTGACTTCGGCGTATGGTTCACATCCATCGACTAAGATGTTAGGACGGAAGTTATAAATGGAAATTTTCTTCTCCAGTCTGTCGTTTAAGTCATTGATAGATGCTTGGGATAAGACATGAAAAGCTGCCAAATTTTGCAATGCCACCTACAAATATAGATAAGATACAGAACCAAATAAACAATATTATTTGAGAAAAAATAATGATAATAATAGACTTCACTCAGCTTCAAACCTACAATAAAAAATGCCTACAATAAAAAATGTCTACACTTGCAAATTTATGTATATATATATATATATATATATACACTGGTTATCATAAATTAAGGAAAATTCACAAAAATCGCGATAACTCAAGAAATTACACATGGAATTTTATGAAACTTACCCACAATATACAACACATAGTAAGGTATTAAACAACATAAAAAGAAATTATCAGACATTAATAGTAGTATAGAAATTAGCACATGTATAAAATAAACAAATTGGAAGTATCGGTTTGCAATAGAAAAAGTACCTTTAATATGGAATATGATTGCCTCTAGAAGCAATACAGCACAAACAGCGATGTGTGATGCTTTCAATTATGCGGTCTATCAGTTCAATAGGAAGTGAGAGCCATTGCTCNTGTGTTATACACCTTTGTTAAACTAAATAACTAATAGAAAATATAATATTATTTATATTTTATTAGATGAAATTTAAAAATATAACTTAGATATCTACCAAGTTTGAGCATGCTCAGTGTGCATTAGAAAAGAATCAAAGATGACTCAGAATTCACTGAAAAAGTTATTAACAGATTTGGACAGCAAACAAGAGGATTAAAATTCTTGTTTTGATTAAACAATTTTTTAATTGTTATGTATCAATAATTACTTAATTATTTGTTTTTGAATAAAAATATTTTTAATAAAAATTTTTTTATAACAAAATTTTTTTTCTTAATCTCTTTAATTGTTTAAGAAAATCCAGGGGCTGCAAGTGCACCCTCTTGCACCCCGCTACCGGCGCCCTTGCGTTAAAAAAAATACAAATAGGAAGTATATAAGGAAATCTCCTGAATAAAAACCCATTGCATGTGCGTTTAAATATAAAAGTATTGTATATAAACTCTTGTAAATCATGTAATTATTAAAACTACTCTGCGTCTAATAATTTTAGCCAAGCCAGGGACTGTAATCAATTGTTTGTCTCTTTAATTAGACACCATCATTTGGTGCTCTTGCTTATAGAATCCCAAATGTAGTATGTCCATTTCTGTTCTTTGATTTGTCCTTTACATGTTGTTTTTCTACATAGCACAAAGTATACATCGGAGTACTTTCTTTTTAAAAGGAAAAAAAAAGGAGAGAGAAAGACAGAGATTAGATGCTTGAAATTGTTCTGTTATTCTCTCTATTCATCTCATTGTCTTGTGTCTGAGAGGGGATTTCCCCCTTGAGTCAAAATCTGAAAGATGGTGGGATGGGCAAAACAAAGGAAGGGTGGATCAATGATGTATTGGAGCTGAAACTGTAAAATTTGCGAGTGAATTTTTTTTCCAGCTAACTTCAATCTTCGAATATGGGAATAATCAAATAATTTTTAAGAACGAGACTCTAAACAATTGGTTAGGTAATCTTTTTTTTCTTGATTCCGGTAGCTTGCAAGATGCTCCTAGAACAAAAATGTTACGTTCTGGAAGTGCTGAATATCATTTCTACAGCATTGGACTATGTCGACTAAAATGCGTTCCGAATGGGTTTAATAAATTGACTAATTTAAATTAACATTGGTCCTTCATAATAAAATCGATAATTCAGAATAAAATCGATAATTCAGAATATAAATCGATAAGTCCCACGTTACTGAGAGCTATTAATATTTAAATACATTTTCCAGAAAGATACAAAAACCCTCTTTTCAAGGTTAATCGTCTCTTCTCTATCTATCCACCAGCATGTAATGCACTCAATTTTGGGCTTCTGGACCTCACTTTAATAAAATTCTATAATTTATCCATGTTCCTGTATCTTTTTCAATAAGCACCGGCGTAACACACACACATCATGACAATTCGGAACAAAACATTTCTTCAAATTTAAAAAATAATCTAAATTTTTTTTGTATATTTATTTAGTTACATTTATTAATATCTTACAGACAGCAGTGTTGTTTATTGTCAATTGCTCAAGAAAAAAAAATTAAAATAGATATTCACCAAATTTTGATTGTCAGGAAAATGACATATTAGACTAGAAGTTAAAAAAAAAACAGTTATTTTAAGCTAATAGTAAGTAATTCAACATAAGCCTTTTCGTTAGATGGACCATGAATTGCTTAAAATTATTCTTTTATCCACTGTAGAAAGAATCAAAAATGTTTTTGTAGTAGATATGTACAAAACAAAATTGTGTATAGTAATCAGTCATTTAATATTAAAAAAAAACTTTGATTACATTCAAGTATAATACAATCTTACATAAACATGGTATTAAGTTAATATTTGCTTTCTCTCTTTACATTCAACTATTTAAGTCCCGCAGTGGACTGATCGTTAAGACACGGTTCCTATCAGATCACCGAAGTCAAGCATCACTGGCTGCGGTCAGTGTGCGGTCGGGTGACCACTTGGATCAGTCTGCATAGGGTCCGAGGATGTGCGGTATTGGTCCTCGTTAAACTGTGCTACCGTAAAGTGCTCGACTTCGCGTGCAGGTCGTCGGGCTACCGAAGCGGGGGTGCCATCCCCTCCGCAGAGGATCAAAATTGTGATGGCATGTCTTCGGAAAAAAAGTTTTAATGTTTCCCAGACCGTCGCCAATAGCCCATTGTGCAGCTCTAGTGCGACGTAAATTAACTACTACTACTCAACTATTTAAAAAAATTTCTGGCAACTATTTCAACGTCCTAGCATTCATAAGCCAGGAAAATGACAGCCAGGATAATGACTTTACTTTAATTTAACATTTCGGTCTAAGATGTTTACATCCCGTAGAAAACAACAGGATTTATTGAAATAACTCGGGTAAATCTATGTACTTTATGTTATTAATGATTTAAAGGAGGCAGAAAAATTGTCCTAAGCTTGAAAGCGTAAACGTTCATATGTTTACAATTTTCTGATAATAATTTTCTTCTGGAGAGGATCAAAACTGAGATGGCATGTCTTCGGATCATCAGCAGTGATGTTTCCCCGTATAGCCCATTGTGCAGCTCTAGTGCGACGTAACTGAAAGTGCCTATCTACAAATTTCTGAATGAAAATTCTTTTCTTGCATGTACCAGGAAAAGTAGAAACAAACTGAACTATAAGTTGTTTGGGAAGAATTTAAAGGTTGAAAGCAAATGGTTCATATTACCAAACAAAATGTTGTATACTACGTTTTAATAATACTTATGCTGGTTCAATAATAATATTTTTATTCATTGTTATTATTATTCAACGAAAAATGAGTAATAGTCGTGCTGTTACGCTTTATAAGTATAATAAAACAATTTCTCGAAGTGAAGAAGAATGAAAGCGTTGATGACAGTTACGAAATTCGTTACATCGAAGGAATGCGCTAGGAGACGAGGCCGTCATTTATTATTTTTGTCATTTATTTCAATTCAATTTCTTTTAAAAATTTATTTAAATTCCTAATATTTCACGCTAGAGCACATTTTTAATTGGTTTTGATTTAATAGTAAGGGGAGCGAGAGCGTAGTATGAAAAGCAAACCATATAAGAATTGCATATAAAATTTTTGTTGGATTGGAGAGCATCAGTTAGCAGGGGCCAAGCCCACTAGCATTTTCCAATTTTAGACAAGGATTCTAAAAATTTATCTTAAAAGTAGTAAATATATGTCACCCTGTGCATTGTCCACTCATAAGTTGGCCACTATGTAAGTTGATCACTAGTAGGATAGCTAATGCATGGTCCACTTAAACTAGGGGTCAACTCATAAAGAGCATGTAAGTTAATTGCTTTTGTCAGTTTAGTACTGACTTTAGTAGAGATCAACATACAAAGGTAGTCAACTTAACAAGCATGGGAAAAAACCCAGATTAGTACTGACTTTAGTAGAGATCAACTTACAAAGGTAGTCAACTTACCAAGCATGGAACAAAAACCCAGATTAGTACTGACTTTAGTAGAGATCAACATACAAAGGTAATCAACTTAACAAGCATGGGAAAAAACTCAGCTTAGTACTGACTTTAGTAGAGATCAACATACAAAGGTAGTCAACTTAACAAGCATGGAAAAAAATCAGCTTAGTACTGACTTTAGTAGAGATCAACATACAAAGGTAATCAACTTAACAAGCATGGAAAAAAAACAGCGTAGTGCTGACTTTAGTAGAGATCAACATACAAAGGTAGTCAACTTAACAAGCATGAAAAAAAACTCAGCTTAGTACTGACTTTAGTAGAGATCAACATACAAAGGTAGTCAACTTAACAAGCATGGAAAGAAAACTCATAATATTTTCTTTCTGACAGTGACATAAAAGGCGTTTACTTACAGTATACTTCTTTCTCAGTGACTTGTAGAGAGGATGATTTTGAACGAATTTTCTTTTTGGTAGGTTTGGAAAGTGACGCACCAAGCGTATATTCGGCATATTTAAGTAGTCCCTAAACCAGTGATTAGATTCTTCACCACAGTCAACTACATACGCAAGTTCACCAATCAATCTGTAATATCACAACAAAATAAATTTGAACAGAAGCAGTTATCCATGATAAGGCTATTGATCGTGTTGTTAATATTGTTACTTATGCCACTTGCCAATACCAGCAAGCATGCTTGGGAAATCAAGCGAATTTTTAAAGCAGAGAGGGAGCATTTCTTGTTTTTGAGTGGTGCCATCTATGGCCAAGAATACGACTTCAGCCATAGAAGCGTCACAGCCCGTTTTACAGGGAGGGCCCATTCATGCATCCACAGATCGAAATTTTGACCTGAACCAGTGAACGATCTATCTCCATTTCAGTACTCCCAGTGGTATTATATAACCGTCGTTGAACAGCTGACCCAATTTTGGGTTGACGACTACTACTGTTCAACTCTGTAGCCTTGTAATTTTGAACCAATCCCGAAGACAAAGAAACTCCTGGATCAGTACCCCCAAAGGTCTGGATTTCTCATGCGAACATGGGGAACTTTGAGACTCGACAGATTTAACGTACATCAGTCCCCATTTACTACACGGGGAGTCTTCTGCCGGAGGGAATAGAACCCACGAAATCTTGGACATGGGCCCAGTGCCCTACCAATCATGCTATCCAGGCCTTCCCCCAGCGATATTGATTTGTTATGGGAACTTGGAAAACTTTGTGATCCCGACAGATTTAACGTGCACCAGTCGCCATTTAATACACGGGGATTCTTCGACCGGTGGGATTCAAACTCACATTCTTACGAACACGAGTCCAACGTCCCACCAATCACGGCTATCCCGGCCTAATATTTTGATCCTGAAAATGTTTTGTGATTTATATATTCTTTTGCTCTTCGAAGACACTTCTGAAATCGACTGCAAAATTTTTATGTCTTATTTCAGAATGTCTTTAACCCTTTCTGAAACTCTTTCTTAACCCTGTATGGTATACTTCAGTACTGTACTTAGTATAGTATACTGTATACTGTGAGTAGTATACTTTACTCTAAATTCATTATTTCCTCACCTATGGTTTTTACAGCCACCTGTTTGACAACTTCAGAAAATAGAAAATACAAACGAAAAGGGCTTTGTTTACAAAAATATGTCTCGCAGTGAAGGTTGCATCGTGCAGTAAAGGATGTCTTGCAGTAAAGAGAAAGTGACACTAGTGAGCTATTTCCGGAACTGATTCTCGTGACTTGTGAGTTATGATGTGGTTTATTTGTAATTTTAAGCGCAGAATGTGTAAAATCGGTTGTTTATAAGTGCAAAAGTTCAAGTTTATGTCCAAATTTTAACAGTAGGTAAAATTTTGAAAACTGTCCCTGATTTTCCAATAAGAAGGGAAAAAGAAGATTTTTTTTAAAAATCAACACACTATTAGGTAATGAGTTAAATCATTTTTTTCTTCAAAAATCAATCTCTGTCCCAAAAATATTTTAACATAACACGACTAGAATTGCATATTAAAAATTAATATCGACGAAATCCTTAAACCGTGTTTTTGCAGTGAATTTTTCAACAAAAAGTCAACAAAAGATTTGTTCGAAAAATGAGATCTCCATTACCTTTGAAACCGAAATAAGAAGGATATAAATATAATTAATCTTTTTTGGAAATATTTAGCAAACATAAGAATTATTTTTGTTAAGTGTGAAATTTAGAGTGTGCCCCATGAAGAATTGGACCCCTACGAAGCCCATGGTTTAATTTATGGGAGCTTAATTTATATGTGTCATAAGATGTTTGTGTGTGACACCTGGCAGCAAACTCCGACATTTACAGTCCCTGGCCAAATTATTAGACGCCCTACAAGATTCTTAAATATCAGGTGATTCTACACAGTTTTATTGTTTTTACGAGACTGAAACCGGTTTGCACTTGTTTACGTTCGTGTATCAATTTGGTTAAATGAGACTATATATAATATAAATTCGACGTTTGGAAAAATTAGACGATATATTATATATAAACATAGAACATTTATTACATCAGGTCTTATATTATTGCATCATAAATATGAGACCAAATTAATAGACGCACTGTAGTGTTTTAATAATGACATGTTTTGCACTAGTTTAAGTGCAATACTTTTATATTTAAACATACATGTAATGGGCTTTTATTCAGGAAACTTTTGATATACTTCCCATTCGCATTTGTTTTTAACGTATTGCATTACAATGTTAACCAATTGATACACGAACGCAAACAACTGCAAACCGGTTTCAGCAGCGTAAAAACAATACAGCTGTATAATTTCACCTCGTAATTATGATTTTACATGGAATCTTATCGTGCGTCTAATAATTTGGCCAGGGACTGTACGAATTTGAAATTTGAGTACAAATTCAAACACCCCAGAATGCAATACTGTGAAAAATGTTTAAATAGTTTCCTAATTAACGAATTTGTTGGCGAATTGGTTCTTTTATTTCTGTTGCAAATATAATCGAAAAAGTTTTTTTCATTTAAAAATTGCGAATTCTGGTGGTTTGGCGGTGCACCTATTTCTTCTTAAAAAAAACTTTATTTATTAAAACTTATACAGCTAATAAAATTAAACTTTATTTAATAATAAACTAGACTATTTTTTTTATATTTCTAATGAGCTGCACAATCAGTCTTCCCGATGAGCAGACCTAGTGCGTTCTCCAGAAGTGGTATCCACTCTTTCAGGACCACCACAGTGGGTGAGATACCGTTGGCCATGTTAATTTAGACGTCTAGTTTCTGCCACACTAGATGGCAGCACCGAGACTCTATTTGGATGCTAAAGTGCACTAGGAATTTTAATTTTGCCTGAAATACCAAGAGCCAATAAGTCTCTCCAGGGATCTTTACATGCCGCATAATCATACGACATGGCCGCTGAGGATTTTCTGCATCCGGAAATCCGAACCCGCAGACTTGGGCTCAGAAGGCCGACGACAAACCAACTGCGCCACCCAGCCACATAAACTATATTATTGACATTTTGTTTTTTATTTTCGCAATAATCTTGCGGGGTAAGTTATAATAACAAATCGATCTCGATAAAGTTATATCTCAAAGCTAGTTGGGGCAAGAGCCGTGCACTTTAGTTGTATAATAACGAAGCTTTTCAAAAATTTTATTTGCTACACTGTCTTGCTGCAAAATTGGCAAAATATGTTTATCTTTAACTGCCTTCAGAGTGGCTCAAGCCTTTTTGTTGCAGGTATTTTGTAACATCTAGTGGCTTCAATTTAAATTTTTTTTTCTTTCAACTATGCATATTTCGAGAAGGAAAAAATACTGTTATGCTATGTGATTCTTCAAGTTTGACTGTCTCTGAAATCGATGGAATGCCGAGCTTTGATAATTTATGTATAAGAGTCTCAGAAAACATATTTTTGGAACACATTTCAAAATAAAGCAGTTAAAAAATAAATAAGGGAAAAGAAGTCAAATTGAAACGTTTTACTGGTCTTCAATATTGCTTTTCACTTGCAAGGAGAATTCGCGATGGAAAAGGCGTATAGAAGATGCTTAGCAGAATTCTTAACCTGTGGTAATCTCCGGCATATTTTCCTCTTATAAGCGTGTAAAAATGGAATTTAAAAAAAAAAAGATTTAAATAGCAAATTTTTAACCCGTGGTAATCTCCGGCATATTTTTCTCTTATAAGCGTGTAAAAATGGAATTTTAAAAAAAATAAGATTTAAATAGCAGAATTTTTAACCCGTGGTAATCTCCGGCATATTTTCCTTTTATAAGCGTGTAAAAATGGAATAATAAAATAAAAATAAGATTTAAATAAAATTAAATAGTATGATGCAAATAAGATGAAAATAAGTTTTCCTCTTATTTTCTTCTTATTAGCATGCATGCAATACTGCAGTCTTTTACTACATTTATTGTTCTTAAAAATATATATATAATCTAAGATTTCTTACTGGCATTCGATAATTTCTGCTTTTGGATTGGGGGCATCTTCTAATTTGATTGTCAACGGAGAGACGTTAGGTCCTGATATGATCAAATTTTGACCACTGAATTTAGGAGTCAGTAGAGCAAGTTTTGGTGCTTCGTTAAGATTGATATACACTTTTTTCTCGTCATTGATCAACATAAACGATCTGAAAATAAACAGAACTACAATGTTATAGTAGAAAATTTTATGTATGATGTCCCAAAAATATTACTATTAATACTATTTTCATAAAAATATTAATACTATTTTCTAAAGGAAATTCGGATACACCATATTTATAATATTACAATAGAGGCTCAAAGTTTACGATTTAAGAAATTAAGTATCGCAGAGCAGACACCAACGAAAAACTGATTGCCGATCACAGTCGAACACATTAATTTCTAGCAACAATAGAGACTACCTTTCATCAAAATAAACACTTATAGAAGCAATCACAACCGCATATATAGTTTGTCTGAAGTAAGAACTCCCGTAGCCATTCATCTGGACCATGGTAACGTGGTATAATTATTTCAAGTAGGGGTGTGGGGTCACTGCTTCGGGTCGGTGAGAGAAAGGGAATCTTTGATTTCGTTCTATTGTGTTAGCCCTAGAGTGAAGAGAAGCTACCCTCCCTGAAATGCGCTATTCTTGTTTCCATAGCAGCAGACGGCCTCAGACTTAGTGGTGGGGGGAGCTTTTACAGTAGACAAACTTTATTTAGACCTACACACCATTTTAATAATAGTTGTAAAGTGAGTCTGCATACAGAATAGGAAAAATAATAATATACAATTTTTTTGATTTTCTTATAACAAAAAATACCAATAATAAATAAAAAGGGAAAATTAAAAAAAAAATTAGATAAGAATTATAGTACAGACTTCAGTCATTACCGATCTAATAATCCATTTACTTCAAATCCTAGATTTGTGCATTTTCCTTCCTTCACTTCAATTCCTTGAATAGATTTCATTGGAAAGAACAATAATTTGCTGACACTTCCAACTTTGTGATAGGTTCGTCTCCTTTTTTTCCAAATCAGAGCCCCCACTGCAACAACGGCCAAAAGGGACACCACTAACCATCCATTCCAACCGGTTGTCATTTTTTATAATTGCAGTACTGAGTTGCTTGAAAACCTGGGGAAAGAAATTTTAAGTAGTCGTACAATTCTTACAAAAAATTTAACTTTAAACAGTGAGAACGTTACGAAGCAGATCAAGAATTTTGCCAGTTTGACAAAAAATATCTTTATATATATATTTCGACTGTTCGTGTGTATGTCACTGAACTCCTCCTAAACGGCTGGACTGATTTAAAGGAAATTTTCTGTGTACCTTCAGAAGGATTCGAGAATGGTTTAGATTCACAATAGAACATTCTGCCACAAACCGTTCCAGCGGTATCAGCGAAAATCGAAATGGAATTTTCTGATTGGTTAAAAGTTAGCCATTGTTTTAAATTTTGCTGTA